TCACAATAGTCACTCCGTCTTGGCACACTGCAGGAAGCTGTACGACGAGTGAGTGGACATCATTGGCATTTTGGCAAAAGGCTGCTGCTCAACACTCTGCAATGACCGTCATACCTGATAGCACAACGATTTACCGCCTCCGGTGGGCATGAGGACGAAACAGTCGCGTCCGGCCATCGTGGCGTTGATGATCTCTCTTTGGTTGGGCCTAAGAGAAGGAACGTGTTAACGCGCAGCTTGTAAGTGATGAGCATCCAGCGTTGTGCACAAGACCGATCAATAGGTTATACCTAAACGTGCGATTACCGAAGAGGTTCCTGTTTGCAGCGTGAATCTTGCGCTCCCAGTCAAACTTCTGTTGCCACTCCGCAAGGTGGGCAGAGTCATCGTCGGATGCTGTGATGTACTGGTTCTCCTCCGCGCTTGGCGCCTGGTATAAGCCAAGTAGTAGAAGTGAGATCCCGCCTTCGTCTCGGAGGTGGACCTTAAAAGAGAGAGAGGAGAGCTCGAACCTCTGCTCCATCGACCGGGGCATTGTAGGTGGAGAAGTCGTCATCCACGACCTCTCCCCCATAACTGGTGCCCGCGTTGATTCGTTGCTGGTTCGATCCACGGTTGTCCATGGGTTCAGCTTCGTAGTCCTCCGAGTAGTCCGTTGTGTTCGAGTTCGAATAGTTGGCAGGATGCCCGAAGGAAGACGACGAGGAAGAAGATGAGGAAGAAGCGCTGAACTGATTCGAGCTGCCGGAGCTGTAGCCCACCGCCCTGTCATAGATCTCAAGTAGGTCGTTGTCGTCGTCCCCGTCGTACGAGGAGCGGGACGAACTGGACCCCGTGTAGGCGGTTCTGGTCGGCATTGTGCGCGGCTGTTGCGGAGAAGAGAAGGAAGGTGGTTGCGACGGTGGCGGAGGTCCGTTGCATTCTTCTTCCTCGCGCTCCTTGATGAGCGATTCGAGCTTGTTCTTCTCCAAGTCAAGCTTTTCACTGCGGACAAGTCAGAGATAAGAACCTAGGAGAGAGCAGTTGTCGCACTACCAGACACAGATCGGCGCACCTTTGCTTCTGAAGCTCAGGAATCTGTGAGAAGTCGGGCGGGCTTGACGAGATCAACGCCAAGATCTTGTCCGCTATCTCTATCTTCATTGCCTGAGTCTGGATCAGCTTATCCTTCAACTGTGCTGTCGACAGCTATACCGACACATCGCAGGTCAGTTCGATCAGCAAGGCCGCCCAAGGCAAACGCTGTAATCTCAACGAACCCTTGCGGAGTCATCTGATGCTATTGCCTTCGAGGAACTCGACGCCCGAGACGCCCTGGTTAGGGCTGGTGAAGCCGAGGTGGTAGTCGTGGCCTGTCCTTTGTGCTGGTTCACCTGTTAATGCAGCAAAGTAGAATCTCTGAGAGTAAGCACGACCTATAAACGCGCTACAAGAGACGGTCCGAAAGCTCGAGTGTACCATGGCATCGACGTCGAGGGAGCTAAGAAAGTCGTCGTCCGCGTCAAACGAGCCGTTCATGACCTTTTCGTCATCGGGCGGTACAGATGGGTCCTCGAAGTAGTGCGACTGCTGCCCCTCTGATGTCAGGAGAGTAGTGTGAGGAGCGCATACAAGTAGGGCGAGAGGATGCGTGATGTACCATCTCCTGCACGAAATGGTTCCTGCGTCAGGTCGATGACCTCCTCCTCTTCTGCTACATAGTCCTCGTAGTCAGCGGCCACATGAGCTTTCCCCTTGTCCATGAAGGAAGGCGCCGGGGAGGGACGGGTAGACGTCGTGGCGCTGCCTGCGCTGCCGCTCGAAGAGGTGGTAGAGAGCGAAGACGAGGACTTGTGAGCTTGCTGCTGCTGTGCGCCTTTCGACTGCCGTGAGAAGAAAGGAGGCGGTTGCGGCTCGAAATCATCCTCGAAATCGGCTGCAGATGATGGAAAGTAGGATTTCTGATTACTTGGTCGGCTAGGTTCTGCATATGCCTCTGGCTCAGGGCCTTGATCCCAGCTCTCGCTCATGAGCATCGCCTCGGCCGCCAGACGGGTCTCTAGATCGAGGTCGTCCTCCGTTGATATCTCCCCATTTTCGCCTGGGGCTTGAGATGCCGAAGGTGTAGGCGCGAATTGGTGGGAAGTACCACTTGGGGCAGCCGATTTGAAATCAGTGGCCCCGGCCGCTACTCGATTGCCGACCGAGTAGGAGAAGCAGGCGGCGAGAGCAGCAGCATGATTCTTGTGCAACCACTCGAGCTGCTCTTGCAGATTGTTCTTTACTGGCCCGCCTGTTCCTCCAGTTGCTTCACCCCTTCGCATCATCTTGAAAACGCAAATTTCATCCAGATGAAAGCGGCCGTTTATCATCAACGACCTTCTTGATTCTACGAATTTATTCGACACAAAATTTGGCCAAAATTTGGCGAAGCAATTGGAAAATTTAACGATCTTCGTGGAGCCCTTGAGCATCTTGCGGCCGCGACCTAGACCTGACTGGTGAGCTTGTTGTACGTTACTTGATCCTTTTCCTTGGTGGGAGTGAGCGCCACTTGATGGTTGAGGAAGTAGTTGAGGATGCCCCACATTGCGACATCGCTCAGCAGGAACCTGACCACACAGGGTATCAGCCTCTGGTCTTGCCACATTTGATGAGGCACAGAAATCGGGAAAAGTGGGGCGGAGTACCAAACAAACTCGCCCGACAGGTAAGGGCTGACGTTGGTGCAGAGCCAAGTGTTCGTGAAGATAGCAGCCACTCCGACACCACCGGCCAATCCCGCCACGCCAAGCCATCCTGTAGGCAACAAACTCAGCATCCAATTCAATCGGCCCAAGTGTGTGACCCATTCGTACCAGAGCCCTCCCAGCGGCCCATCTTGTACAGGGAATAGACTTGAGTGATGCAGTACGAGCCGCAGCCCACCATGATGATACCTGCGAGCAAGATGTTGGCACAACTCTGAACATGTAGGGAAAGTAAGGAGAAGGAGGGCGTACCCAGATAGAGGATCAGGAAGCCGTCACGAATGCTGTGCTGGAATTCATAGACCCAGGCGCAGAAGATGAGAGCGTAGCTGCCGAACATGACCTGAACCAACGCACACGGATGCGTTAGTTGGCGCTCGTTGGGGAAGAGGCAAAGGTAAGAGAGTAATACCACAAAGGAAGAGAGGGTGTTCTCCTTCATGACGCCCACATCGACAAGACCGTTGTAGAGGAAGGACAGACCGATGGACGAGGTGAGACCCACATCAATCAGGCCCACCAGGTATGACAGCAATGTCTTCTGGCTGGCCAGGAAGCAGTGCACAAACTGGTCAACCGCGATTGGACAGTTAGAATTCAAAAAGCCCGCCAGTCAGCCACGAGAAGACGGGCAAAGGGGCGCAAAGGGACCCAAAGGGGCGGTACCATGGCATCGGTCATCATGCAGGCGAACATGAGGAAGGACATCGCGTAGACCACGTGGCCTGCAAGGGACCAAAACGAGTATTACGTTGTGGCGTTAAACATTGTGTAGCACGGGATGAAAGAAACTGCAGTTCTCCTTGGAGTAGAAGAAGGGACGAACCTCTGGTGTTGGAATGCTGCGAGATGGTGCGGAACCCGTAGAGGCCCACCAGCGCGGCAAGCAGGCAAGTCGGAATCAATGCTGCAACATTACATGACACGTTAGGGAAGCACACAAGCTCGCCTTCATCAAGTAACAAGCGAAAGAAAGTCCGAAGGGTGCGAAGAGGTACAGGGGTCGGTGATGGTGAAACTATCCCCAAAGGTCCAGGCGACCGAGCACGGGTTGGAGTCGTCAACGACGAACGAAAGGCCCCCGCCGTTGTTGAGGCCGAGAGCGCCCTCCAGCTTCCTTGCCCACAGCCTAAACACCGTACTCCAGGCTGCTGTGGCCATGTTCTCGTGTTTGAGTTTTTGAGCTTTAGGTAGGAGAGTAACGTGCCGATCTGTTTATTGTTTTGTGTCGACAAAGAAACTCGACGCGAGTGAGAAACGAAGAAAGAAAATGTGTGGGCCACGACAGGGTGAGCTGGAGCGGCACCAGCAAACTCAGACGCGTGGCGAGATCACACATCGAAGATAGATACATTGAGAACGTAACATAATGGATCAGCTGCTCAATCAATCCGCTTTCAGCTACGACAACGTACAGAGGTATGTGTGGCGATTGCAGTCGTTTGAGGCAGAGTTCATTTGGGATTTCTCGAGAGATGATCAGCGTCTAAAATTTGTTGCACTCGACTTAGGAATGCCTTCTTGGAGGCCAAGGGCTACAAGGCGCCCACGACCAAGAAGACTGGCACCACCATTGCTGGCATCATGTTCAAGGTGCGCTCGCATTCGTCCCCAGATCTCTTTCGATCCCCTCACCATCTGGCTCGAAATTCAGGATGGTATCGTGCTGGGTGCTGATACGCGTGCCACTGAGGGTCCCATCGTGTGCGACAAGAACTGTGAGAAGATCCACTACATTGCGCCCAACATCTACTGCTGCGGAGCTGGCACAAGTGCCGACACCGAGAACAGCACTGGTACGCTCAAATCTGCCTCAAATCCAGTGCTCCATGCTTTATATCATCACTTTGCGAATCGTGTACATCGGGATCTGTTGCTCTCTCTTATCTTCCCATCTTGGACGCACAGCCCTTATCAGCAGCCAGCTGAAGCTCCACCGGTATGCGACCGGCAAGGAGTCGCGAGTGGCCACAACGATGACCCTCCTCAAGCGCATGCTGTGGCGCTACCAGGGCCACGTCGGCGCTGCTCTCGTGCTCGGTGGCGTGGACGCGACCGGTGCTCACCTCTACACAATCTATCCTCACGGCTCTACCGATAAGCTTCCCTACGCTACCATGGGATCCGGTTCGCTGGCCGCCATGGCCGTGTTCGAAGCCGGCTGGAGGCCAGAGATGGAGAGGGCCGAGGCCATGGAGCTCGTGCACCAGGTACGTTCTTGATTGCGCATTCGCAACGTAGAGAGCTTCCGGTCGTTCATTCTAATGGCGTCGATGTTGTTGTGTCATACCAGGCCATCCTGTCCGGTATCTTCAACGATCTGGGTTCGGGTTCCAACGTGGACTTGGTGGTGATCACCAAGGGCAAGGTCGACATTCACCGCACCTACGACCAGGCCAACCCGCGCCCCTATTCGCGTGTCAGGCCCTACGACTTCCCTCGCGGCTCCACGGGTTCGTTTGCTCACTCACACCCGTTCATCGTACCCAACTCGTGAATCGTTGATGTTGACTCTTTCCTTCGTTCGTACGTGCAGAGGTGATCTCGCATAAGGTGGTCCCGCGCATCTCTGAGTTCAAGGAGGAGGAAGAGGCCGCGGCGCAAGCGGCTGCCGCCGCCAAGGATACCATGGAAGAGTAAATAGCCGATGTCTGACTGATGAGACCACTCCTCCCCTTCAACAACTCCTTTGTTTATTTTCTTCTTCCTCTACCCCGCCACCGACAATGTGTGTCACAAAAAAAACGCATAAATGTTAACCTAACACCAACACAGCCAGCACCTTCTTCTCTTTCATCGTCTTGTTGAGCGATCTGTGTTGTGGCCCACCTCACGCTGACGTCTTGGCACGTCCGTTCGGGGAAGCACCCGCATTTATTTTAAATGAAAAATGAAAATAAAGAGCGCCTACACAGAGACAGCAATCCTCAATCATGAACACGAACGATTCAATGGACGTTGTGGTGCCACGATACGAGCTCGCTGCCGAGCTTGCAGGCCATGAAGCTGATGTACACCACGCCTCCCAAGACTAGGTGTAAAATGGGTTGGGCTCAGATTACAAATTTGCATCGCGCTCACGCGGGATGGTGCGAACCCTGACGCGGGGCACAATCGAAAGGTGCGCGGGGTATGTGCAGTGCCAGGTGTTGGGCTGGCCACGGCTTCACGCGATCGCACAGTACGCGTGTGGTCTGGCCCAGGGTGGGCCACCAGCCGCATCTTGTCAGGGCACCAGCACTACGTCTCCACCGTCATCGCCCTTCCTCCCGGCAGGTTCGCTACTTGCATCTTCTCTCTCTTCTTGATGGATGAATCAACCGGTGAGAGCTCATCTTTGTCTGGGTGCAGCTCGCAACTGGAGAAGGGAGGGCTGGCGTCGGGTGGTAACGATGGAGTAATCAACATTTGGGACCTCGACGCTCCTGCGGATCCGGTCATGACGCTGGTGGGCCACGAGAAGCCCGTCGTCGCCCTCGCCGCCGCGCCCAACGGCCTCCTCGTCTCTGGCAGCTGGTCCGCGCACCACCCTTCACACTCACTTCTCTCTTGCCCCGCTGAGCGCTAACGTGACGCCTTCATGCGGCTTGGTGTGGTGTGGTGTGGTGGTGGTGTGGTGTGGTGTGGTGGTTGTCGTCCAACTGGGAAACAGGGACTTCACAGCGCGTGTGTGGCGAGGTGCAGAATGTGTGCACGAGCTGCGCGGACACACCCAGGCTGTGTGGGCCGTGCTCGCCCTCTCTGCCACCGACGTACTCACTGGTAACGAAATTGCATGCGTGTCCCAGCAGCCACATCTGCTCGCGTCTTCGTTCCCGTGCTAACACTGTTATGGTGGCCTCATCACAGCGTCGGCCGATAAAACCATCAAGCTGTGGCGCGACGGCAAATGCATTCACACCTACGAGGGTCACTCCGACGCCGTCCGAGCCCTGCAGGCCATCGAGGGCGTCGGCTTCCTCTCCGGTTCCAACGATGGGTAACGACTGCGAACACCTCTCCTCTTCCTTCTCCTCCTACGCGATTCTTGAGACTGAGCGAATTGGTGGCTGGGCCAGGTCGTTGCGAGTGTGGACGCTGAGCGGCGAGTGCGTGGGCGAATACTACGGACACGCGTCCTTCGTGTTCGCCGTGGCGGCGGTGCCCGGAACCAACCTCATCGCCTCGGCCAGCGAGGATCACACCGTCAAGCTCTGGCACCGTACGCGTCTCTTTGTCTTTGTCGCTGCCGACTGCTCAAAACACACCCAACTTATTTATTCATTTATTTATACATTTATTTTTTCATTTGGCCAGAGGGCAAGTGCGTACAGACGTTGCAGCACCCGACGACGGTCTGGTCGGTGGCCGGGCTGGAGAATGGAGACGTCGTGACGGGCTGTGCTGACGGCATCGCCCGCGTGTGGTCTGCCCGACCCGAGGCCGCCCTCCCCGCCGATCAGCTCGCCGCCTATCAGGCCAAGGTCACCAACGTGCCCATCGCTAAGTACGCACCCTTTTCCTATGTGCCGTGCGTTGTGTGTCGCGCGCGTGTCGTGTGTGTGTGCTGCGTGTCGTCTCACAGGTCTTACTTGACCTATTCAAAAAGGGGATCGATCGGCGATCTGAATGTGGAGAAGTTGCCCGGACGAGAGGCCCTGGAGACGCCGGGGCGCACCGAGGGCGACCGGCTGATGGTGCGGAACGGGAACACGGTCGAGGTCTACTTGTGGGACTCGGCCCAGTCGCAGTGGACCAAGTTCGGCGAGGTCGTCGACGCCGCGAGCACCCCCGCCAAGTCCCTCCAGGACGGCCGCGAGTACGACTACGTGTTCGACGTCGATCTCGGGGACGGCCTGCCGGCTCGCAAGCTGGGCTACAACGCCACCGGTGCGTTCGTCACATTTCTCCTGATCTTCATTTCTTTCTTCTTTTATAATTAATACCGTATTTCTTTACACTTAAAAATTACGCAGATAACCCATGGACGGCGGCGCAGCAGTTCCTGTGGCGCGAGGAGCTGCCACAGGACTACCTGGACCAGGTGGCCAACTTCATCATCACCAACTCGACCCCGGTCACTCTCGGACAGGGCTCCGCGGGACCCACCTACCAGGACCCGTTCACCGGTACTAGTCTACCCCTCCTGCGTGTGCGTGCGGTGCGTGCGGTGACAAAACCTAATAAGGGTTTGTGGCGTGTTGTGTTATGTTTGACGGACAGGGGGCAACCGGTACGTGCCGGGCAGCTCGACGTCGACCCAGAGCGGCGCCGGACTCGATCCGTTCACGGGTGCTTCGAGCTACCGCAGCTCATCCGCCCCGGCGCCCGCGCCTCCCGCGCCCACCACACTCTCGACCACGAACGGCAGCTCGACCGCGCCTTCGCCCTACGTCCACTTCCCCAACGTACCCTTCCCTCACCCACCGCCTGTGCGCGCGTACGTAGTGTCGTCTTGGGTCGAGTCGAGTGCTCACTCGCTGGATTGTATCTGCAGCGCGCCATGGTGTACTTCGACCAGTCCAACTTCGACGGCATTTCCAAGAAGCTCAACGAGTTCTCCGCCCAACTCGCCTCCTCCGGCGTATGGATCTCCACCACTACAACTACTACTTGTGTCATGTGAACTCACCTTCGTTCTTTTTCTTCTTCTTTCTTTTGGAGCAGAGCGATCAGGCGGGCAAGGCCCTGTCGGCCGATGGGAGGGACGCGGGGCTGGTGGATTCGTTGATCCGCACGCTCAAGGACACCTCGCGCTACCACGCCACCACCTTCGCCTCCGACGAACTCCGCGTGGTGAGTAAGCTGCTCACCTGGCCCGCGCCCATGCGCTTCCCCGGTACCGCCGTCACCTCTTTCCTCAAGCTTGCGCCGAATGTGTGTCTCATGCCGCCACACGAACCACCGCCGCCGCCGCATACGCGACGCTCAGTGCTGGACTTGGTGAGGAGCATGGCGGTTCATCAGAGCGGTGCGGCCTACTTTGCCCAGCCCGCGGTGTGGAATGTGCTCGAGGGGGTCCTCCTGGAGAGCCTCAAGGACACCGCCGTGGTGCCCAACCAAATGCTCGCCCTCCGCGTGCTCGCCAACCTCTTTCACTTCACCGTACGCCCCCCCCCTCGCTAGTACCATGCGCGCGCAGATGGACTCCAATTTCCGTGCCCCCCCCCCCAATATGCAGAACACGCGAACTTTGGTCGTCGGTCGGGCAGAGGTCCTGCTCGAAGCTGCGGCCGACACCGCGCGTTCGGCCAACAAGAACGTGCGCCTGTCCCTCATCACGCTCCTCCTCAAGTACGCAGTCCAACTTTTTTGCCAGTGTATTGCCAATGACTAACCTTGATGAATGATGAATGATGATCTCCCACAGCTTTGCGGTGCACCTGCTGGGCCAGCCTCAGGGCAATGCGGCCGACGTCAAGCTGCAGGCCGTGTCGATCATTGCCGAGATGTTGGGCGCTGAGGCCGAGGACGAGGAGGTGCTGTATCGGGTGCTGGTCACGCTGGGCACCCTCGTCACCAGCGACGCCGCCACGGCGGGCCTGGCCAAGGACCTCGACATCCCCGCCAGCCTCCACCGACTCGCCTCCGCTGCGACCACCGGCCAAGCTCTCAAGTCGCGCGCCGCCGCCGCCGAGCTCTCCACCTGCCTGCAGGATGTGAGAGCACATTGTTCCAGCTAAATACGTCACATTCCATCCGACACACTGTCGGTTGAGCACCGTGCTGGTGTCGGCCTGTCTGGAGGCATGAGCTTGATAGGCGTCAGGCCACTGAGAAGTTTACAGGAATGCTGTTGGCATGCCTCACAGAACTGGGAATGTCTTGTCAGACTTGCTCCCCTGAAGTTTGCCTAGGGCATTTGGCACAAATACTATTGGCTCCACCTAGTTAAACTTGGTTCACGTAGAAGAAATTACCGGGATTGAACTTTATCCTATTGCCATTAGGTGCACAACGATAAGATACTCCCACCGGATGGCATGGTGAACCCCAAGCCATCAACTCCGACCACGTCTGGGAGATTGCCAGGAGATCTCGCCTGGAGGTTCTCATCTCGCACCAGCCCCTTCGTCCTCATTGGGCCACTGCTGCAAAAGAAACGTAGTTCACCCTTTACGGTCCAGGCCTCCTCTTGCCAAAAACACGGCAAGGCCCGATAAATCTGCCTACCGAGAGCTCTCATGACAACCGGTCAGGCCAGATCTACAGCTGACCTGGGTCGACGCGGTGCCTCCGCGGAGGGGCCGCCACCACAACTTGCGCTCCCTGCGAGTGCAGTTCACATTACTGATCGGTCACGCGCACACTACGCCTACACTAGACGACACACATTGCGAGACGATGTGGATTCGAGAAAAGAACGCAGCGCCAAGAGCGGACAGCACACAAGGGTGGATGGCGCCGAAACGAGCACCGGGCGTTACGGAGAATGTGAAGATCAGACAGGCCGTGCTGATAGACGAACTGCGCAAGCTCGAGTGGTCGCCCGCCCCGCACACCACCGCCACGGCCTCATACCTCTCGGCCCCGCCGGCGACCAGCGCGCGCTGCTCGAAACCGCCGTTGACGCCCCACCACGCCCAGCAGCGCCGATGGCACAGCAACCCTGCGGAGCAGCAGGAGCGACAACCACCCAGACGGGCGCCATGCGTAGTCAGCCCGGCAGTCGGCCGCACGAGCTACGTGGAGGAGGAGGAGGAGGACAAGAAGCGGAAGCTGCGACCAGTCGAGGCCCTTAGGGTGGTGCTCGGCCTGCGGCCACGACGGAAGAGCTTTCAGAAGTGCCTTGCTCAACAACTCTAGGAGAAGAGTCGCCTTTTTGATCAAAGAATGTACAAAAGTAGGAAAGAAAAATAGCCGCCTCTTTAGCCTGTAGCCCTTTGAGGAAACAGTGGTAGAGGAAACTGTGTTCATAATTTGTAGAAAGGAATGTTGGGAATGTATGGAGAGAAAAGGGGAAGGAAGGAGTGAGAGAATGAGGGGAAGAGAGATCAGAAGGGGTACTGGTCCTCCTCGACCGCCTTCCTGCGGGCCAGGTCCACCTCCACCTGTCGCTTGCGTCTCGCCTGGTACCCCCACACCAGCATTCCGCCCACGATCACCACCGCCAACGTGCTGCGCCCAACAGAACCGAACGGAGCGTTAGACGGAGATTGCTTGCTTTTCGTGTGGGGGGGAGTACAAAATCAGCATGGCTCGGTTGGCGGTCAGATAGATAGCTGCGGGCCTCTTCGACGGGCGAGGCGGCGTGGCTTGCGGTTATAGTGGGTTCCAATGTGGCACATATGTGAGTATATGTTATGATCATCATGAGACAAAAGAAAAAGAATGGAGTATCATACCACACTCCTTGGTCCAGGCGAACTCGATGGTGTCGTGCAGATCGGTGGCCACCATGGACAACCGCACCACGGCATTGCCGCGCTGCAGGCACTTGTACTCGACCCTGGCAATTAATTGGGAAAAGAGTTAATATTAGTTTTACATACCAGGTACAACTGTGTGGTTGCCATGAGACCAAGTTTACAAGAGGGAGGTACCTCAGCGGGGTGGGAGAAGAATCGACCCAGATCTCGGATCGGCTGTCCACGGTGCCCTGAGGCCCGACCAATCGGGCACGCAGGATAGTGCTCGGTTGGATCTGGGTGTCGAACGTGGATTGGTTGCAGTGGAACGAATCAGGTTTCAAACCAATTTAAAATGGTGTCCAATGGGAGAAGGCATGAGTCTCATTGTACCGTGAGGCGAGGAGAGGTGAACGGGGTGAAGGTCTGGGCGCTGAAGTAGAACATCGAAGTGGTTGTGTTCTGGCTCACCGTGTGTGAGTGCAATGCAGTCGTCCACTCCGGCTGCACACACGGATCATATGTTGAGTCAGACCAACACATGGCACACACATTACTAGAATTTATATAGAAATAAAAATATCGATCAATGTATACAGAATAGACTGGACAGCGTACCACGACAGCACCGTTGGTGTACACGTCCCCACCATGCGCGCTGGACGACGTGCTGATCACGAGGCCCTGATGGGTGCCCACTTGCGAGCACGACTTGCGCCACCCGAACTCCACGGGGCTGTAGGCGCCAATGGTGTACTTGACATTCACGATCACTTCCTAATGTTGGCACAGCCATTTTTACACCGGTTAATGTTACAAAATAAACAAAGTGGTGAGAAAGTAGAGCCCCGAACCTCTTCGGACAGCAACAGGCACTTGTAGGTGATGGCCAAGGCCTTGGCTCCCTTCTCGGTCAGGATGCTTCCGTACGAGGCCCCCTCGGTGCCGTGGATCTGATGTTGTAAGCCAACAATATAAATTTATACAAATAAATTGCAAAAACAGAAAAAAGAAAAGAGGACGAGGTAGAAGAAGGAATGGCGAACCTGAAGGATGTCGGGATGGGACACGGTGATAACAGGAGCGCCGTAGTCCTGCGATCCTGCGGCCCGTTCCATCTTTGGGTTGGCGGAGAGATTAAGGCGGTGAGCACCAGGAGGACAAGGTGGTCTGAGATTGGGGGGGGGCTGTACGCGAAGGTAGAAGGTGGTAGTGTGCACGCCGAACGGGATCTTCTGGTTGAAAGGAGCCAACCACTTGTCCTCCACCTTGCCATCCTGCATGTAGGAAGACAAAAAGAAAGAACAATATTAAGAAATGAGATGATAAAACAATAATGAAATATAAAGTACGTACGGTTACAACGGGGAAGCTGTCACTGTCGTCGTCGCCCAGCACGGCATCGACGAAGAAGCCCTGGCGCTGTCCGCTGCCGCACGTCTTCGTCCACGTGAAGGTCACGTTCTTGACCTCCTCCAACATGTTGAAGAAGGTGTACTCGACAGTGATCTGCGACTTGCCTGTTTGATTCACGTTTCATGGCCAACAGCACACGACACAACACGCACACATCGCACACAGCGCACACGCACATATCGTAAGTTGTGAGGAATTTGTCAACTGGTGGTGGTGAAGGGGGGAAAGACCTGCAGTCTTGCAGTAGTACTCCACGCGGAAGACGTAGAACTTGCCGGCCGGGTCCTTCTCCTCCAGACTGCCAAAGAGGCCATCGCCGTGCCCAGTCACCTTCATCACGTCGTCCTCCGTTTCTGTGCGCAACCCACGCAAACGCACCGCCGCACACGCACACACGCACACACACACACATCCACATGCTCAAACACACACTCACATGTTGTTGGTCACATAGGTTGAGGGCATACCGCGGTTGGCGAGGTAGAAGGTGGGCGGGCCGAACTGTTCGGGCTTGAGGTCGCCGGGGTCGATCGGGGGCGTGCCCGGATCGTCGAGGTCGATGACGAACGAGGTGTAGGACTCGACCACCACCTCCTGGGCCAGCTCGACGCCCTCGGCCGGAACGCCGCGCCAGGCCGGGAGCACCTCATCTTCGTCGACCACCAGCTCGGCGTCGTCGAGCGAGTCCTGGTCGAAGGCCGCCACGTCATTTTGGGGCATGCCTTCTTCATCGTATTCCGACTCGCTGTCGGCGTAGTGGAAGTCGTCATCGTCATCTCCCTCATCTGAGCTCATGAGCCAGTCGGCGTCGGACCCGATCCGATAGATGGTGAAGGCATCGACGGGAGATGATTGGGAGATGAAGATGAGGGCGACGAGGGCCAACATCGCCACAGTGAGGGACGCCAACGACTTCATTCTGCCTACGACTTGAGAAGAACAGCAAGCAGACGAGGAGAAACGGGTTCGAAGTAGAGGGATGAAAGGATGGAGTCAGCCCCTCTTGATACCTTCTTCTATTTGTCAAGGAGAAGGAAACGACGGAGGAAACGATGCGAGAAACGACAGTACACCCCACTTTTGGTAATTTCCTTATCTGGAATTTTTTTTTGGTGGAGAAAATGTGTTGGTTGCGATTGGTTCTCAAGCAAGAAGCCAGAGGCCTTTCTTATGGCTTTGTTTTTTAGTGTCAACAGTACAGAAAAGTACTGGTGCAGTTGTGTGAACGGGCAAGTAGAAGAAGTCGAAGAAAGGAAAGGGTAATGTTGGCCAGTATGTGCTGATTGGCTGAAATTAAATAAGACAAGGTCGGATTTCTCCAGGATTTCATCCACCACAAATTATGTGAGGCGCACAAAGACGAAGGAGAACGAAAACGAAAGCGTAACGTGGGTACCGAAAAGAACGAAGGAGAAGCGACACTTTACCTCGGCCCTAACCTCGAGCTTCGAAGCAGGTTGGCTTGTGCACAAGCTCATCTTTTTGATTGGGTGCGGCGCAATGCTCTGAGAGAGAAAAGGCACACCATCGACGAAGATTAGTTCCGAAATCGGGCCATCAGGACATTCATTCATTCATCGAGAACAGGCCTGAAGGTCATTCTAGAGATTGATCTACAAGACAACAAAATCTCGAGAAATCGCGGCCCTAATTTCGGAGTGAAATGAAATCGAGTGGAGGAGGGGTGGGGGAGGACAAGTCACCTGACAAGGAGCCCAAGAAGAAGGAGCGCTCGGGAGGTAGCATAAAGAAGCGGCTCTCCATAGGCTACGGCTTTTCCAGCCTCCGCAAGCGGAATCCCATCAAGGGTATACCTCCAGACTACTACTTTTATTCTTTTGATTTTTGTATGGTTTTGTTTCCTCCACTCGACTCCTCTTGGTGGTCTCATCATCTGTAATTTTTTTTCCTCATTCTTCTTCTTGTCGTGGCGCACAGGCGTGTTCGAGGAGGACGACAGGAAGAAGGTGCGCGTTACATGCTCGCGTTGTCTCCACCACACTGTAATTCGTGTTTTCTTTATTTATTTATTTATTTATTTGTCGTTGTTGGGGCAGGGCAAGTCCATCGAAATCAAGGTGGACGACGTGGGATGGAAGCAAACAAAGCACGTGGGACAGGAGGAAGCTCAACAGCTCAAGTACGCTCACCCCCAATGCGCCATTGTGCTCTGTTTCGTTTTGTGTGCGTCTGTGCGTGTGTCGTGTCTCTATCGGTGTGTGATGTGTGTGTCGACAGAGGCATATGTATCTTCATATGAATAACGCGCCATCTTCTGTTCAGGGCGCTGATGGTGCTCACGAAGCAGCTGGGCGAGGAAGACACCGACGAAATCGCCCAGCTCCTCCAGGAATGGGACGCCGACAAGGTAACCCGCAATTCATTTGTCTTTATTTACATTTCATATATATATGTATAGTTTACAAAACATCAAGTGAATTATTTGATTATAACAGTTTTTATTTACTTATTATCTCTTGGGTGTGCAGGTGCAAAAGGAGATCGAGGACAAGCGACGAATGCAGATGCAGAAGAACAGGTCCCTGCAGGTGGTGATGGAGCAGTGGGGCCGCAGCGGTCCCGAACGCGACGCGTTCCCTCTGCCCAGCGACGCCGACGGCGCCCTGTCGTTGTCTTCGCCCTCCGCCATCACCCTCCCGGTCCCCGGCCCCGCGCCAGCCACACCCATCCCACCAACACCAGGCGACAGCGCAGCCGACACCTTAACTTCGACATCCACCATTGCCACCTTAACTTCGTCAGCCGCCACATTAAATTCTTCCGCCGGCGCGCCCAATAACAACGCCGATGCGACAGCGGAACAGGACCAGCTCAAGAAGGAGGTGTCGCCGTCGTCCTCGCCGATGATGATGATGATGACGTCAGCAGCAGAAGACAACAAAAGCAGCCACTACGACGGCTACGACGGCCGCCGGCGCGGATCTTCGTTCGACGATTCGTCGCCGACCTGGTCCGTCGACGACGAGTACACGGCCGACTCGTCGGTCATCATCGAAGACGACGACGAGGACCTCATGGAGGTGCCCGAGATCGGCAGCGAGGGCAACGACAGCGAAGGCAGCGAGGGCGCCGGCGGCGGAAGATCTCCCCGCACCTCCTCCTCCTCCGCCAAGAAGAAGAAGAAGATCCGCGAGCCCAGGTACGTGTGTGTCATGCGCGTGTGCGGTGTGTGCGGTGTGTGCGGTGTGCAGTGTTTGCGATGGTGTGTTGACCATGCGCGAATGAAACGCAGGCCGCCATCGATGGTGTTCGGGAAAAAGGAGAATTTGGACCTGCGCGATTGGCAGACCTTTCTCGAGGCCGAACGGGCGCGCGCCCTGCCCTACGCCGTCAACAGCCCGCGCCGCGCCGCTTCGCCCCGCAACTCTCCGCGCAACTCGCCCGCCGGCTTCCTCATCTTTAAGCAGAAGAAGATGCTCACCACCCTCAACAGCACCAACAACAGCGGACAAGCGTCGCCGTCGAGCAAACTCGGCAGTGGCGGCCGCCACCCGACCAGACCACGCAGCGGCGGCGGCGGCGATGACGTCAGCAGCGACGTTAGAGGGGCGGCGATGTGTCGACAGAACGGCGGCGGGCGAGCGTGGAGCGACGACGAGAGCAGTTCGTATGAACAACGGCGCCCGGGCGACGGCGGACGGGGCGACATCGGCGACGAGGTGGTCGAGCTCGCCGAGATGAGCGAGGGCGAAGAGACCGAGGGCGAAACATTCTCGCATCGGCGCGACTCCACCTCCTCCGCAAGAATGTCGCCCACGCCGTCGACGTCGACACCGACCACGCCGACCAAGGCCGGCAGCCCGACCATCCCCAAGATCGTACTCACCCCGCAGATGCAGGAGCGCACGGTCAAGCTGCCGCCGCCCGCCGCCCAGTCGCCCACGTCGCCCTCGCGTAACGGCGGCGCTGACGTCAGCAGCGCGAGTAGTAGTGCCACGTCAGCAGCAACCTCAACGTCGCCCGGACGGACCAGTCGGCGGAAGGCGGCCGGAGAGCAGATTCGGCGGATTTCGCTGAGCGACTCGCAGCTGGTGTTCTTCCAGCGGTGGATGCGGGACAAGGTCAAGGACGGCAAGGTCGAGGTGCCGGCCGACGTCGAGCAGGAGATCCGCGAGCGCGAGCGCGACGCGGTGCGGCGCTACGACAAGATGGAGGCCGACGGCCTGCGCAAGGCGCTGGTCAAGCGCGACAAGGAGCTGGCGGTGCTGCGCCGCGCGGTCGAGGAGCTGAAGGGGCGCGAGGAGAAGGCGGCCGCGCGTGAGCGCGAGCTGCGCGACGAGATTCGACGCGAGCGCGAGCGTGCCGACCGGGTGCAGGCGCGCGAGAACGTGCTCAAGGAGATGATCCGCGAGAAGGTCGAAGAGAAGCGCAAGATGAAGGAGGAGCGCGAGCGCGAGCTGGAACTACGACGCGTCAGCTCGTCCGACGATCAACACCAACACCAACATCAGCATCAACCGCCGCGACGAGCGACCAAAGAAAACAAGAAAGAGAAGAAGGAGAAAGAGAAAGAGAAGGGAAAGAGCGAAAAGAAGAGAAGGGGGTCGGCGATCAAGTTTGTAAGTAAGGAGAAGGGCGAGCGCGAGCGATCATCGCGGGCTGGCGGGCGACTGGACAGCAGCGGCGAGCGAGCGCCGGAGCCGATTCAGCACGCAGCGGGCGTGGTGGGTTCGGCGGGGAGCGATGAGGTGACGTCGCTGCAGGAGCTGGTGAAGGGCGCGGGGACGTGGAGCAAGAGCCGAGGGCGCGAGGTGAAGATCTTCAAGCACCTGCGCAGCAAGAGCAGCGAGGAGGTGCCCACGGCCTACGTCGCCAAGGAGTCGCGCGAGGCGCACTGACGCCCGCCAGCTTGTGGAACAGTGAGGAACTCAAACTCAAGTTACCATCAAATGTAACAACTATGAACAATGCAACGCACCAGCACAATCGCATCTTGCCGAACTTTCAAACAAAAGGCTTCTTGCTTCGTTCTTTCTTTGTCCCATAATGGGTGGCGTATAACACGAAGGCCGCCACAACTGGTTCGGGCAGCGACTTTGGCTGCTTGAGGCTGGTGCTGAAGTCGGTGGGTTTCATCGAAACATCAAGGACGCCTCGCACTCAACCCACGACGCGACCACCACCTTTTTTTCCCTTATAGTTTGGTTTTTTCTATTTTTGTTTTGTTTCGTTTCGTTTTGTTAATTTGTTGCCTCGGATAGGCCTTTCTCAAAGCCTCCCCGAGCGGAACCACTGTAGGCCAGCTGACCTTCCAGACTTGAGGTGTCTTTGCGGTGGGGATTGAACGTTATTGCTTCCTGACAAGGTTGAGGTGCAGGAAGGGAGTGCAGGCCGGGCATTACCATTCCAGGGATGTCCTTGCGTGACCACCAGGCGACGCCAGGCGTGCATGCACAAAAACTGAGATTCATGGCTCAGCTATAGACTGGTGTGTCCAAGTATGGTAATTGCCCGCCAAGGGTTACATGACAGAAGAGCCATGGCACGTGCTGGCGAGAATTCCTGGTCATTTCGGTGGAACTTTAGTGACACGACCAATCAGCACAGGCACTTACGTGGGCGCCAAGAGGTTCGGAACAACACCAGAGATAGAGGGATAGCATGGTTGTGTATTTATCTCTATAACGACACATAAAAATCGCTCTTGGGTGAAAAATGTCTCTCTACTCGGGCCGGGCTACTGTCTTGAGGCCCGCTGATCGCTTCTCCAGTCGCACCAGCAGACGCTTGATCGGGTTGCTCGACCGCGACCTTGGCTTCTCCGTCGTTGCCGTCGTAGTTGTGGTCGTGGTCTTTGATGATGTTGTCGTGGTGGTCTTGTTCATCTTCTTCGACGTGGTGGTCGAGGCAACATCTGGTCGCGGCCGGCGAACCCAGAGGGAGTCGCTGTTGTGCTGGCGCTTCGTCTTCAGCAGCTCGGCCGCGCTCTCCGGCGACGACTTGAGCTTGGGCAGCGGGGCCGAGTAGAGCGAGGTCGAAGCGTGCGGCGAGTGGGTGGGGGTGAGGCACACTTCGATCTTGTGGAGCTCGTCGATCAGCACCGCCTGCTTGATCATCAGCTTCTGCGTCACGCCCGGTGCGCGCTTGGGGGCCATCCACGACAGGTGTGTGGTTGTTGGTGTGTTGGCCTTCGCCCCTGCGCTGCTTTTCTTGATCTGTTGCTTGAGCTCCTTCTTGCGTGCGTTCCGTGTAGTGTGCATCATGGTTGGTGTATGCGAGTGTTGTGTGTCTTTGCAGAGGCTGTGGAGCTGGAGGTGGCTGGTGGTGCGGCGATGGAGTGGAATGATGATGGACTGCTCAGAGTCCGTCCATTTAAAAACTTGGGCCAGTAGCGGCAGGCCTCGAATAGGACAAGGACATTGAAGGAGCCAAGTGACAGGAAGAGGAGTTGAAAATTTGAGGGACACTCACGCCTCCCTCTCCTTGCCCAATGGCATCTGCGGTGCGTGGACTGTGTCCCGCACTTGCGTGAGCGCGAGCAGCTTGCCCGAATGGAGGTCCCCTCCTCTCCACACTTATTCCTGCCCCCCCCCTGTCAGTATCTCCTCCTCGAAGTGATGTCTGGCCCACAAACCGTTGCGAGGTATGTACGTTACATGGCTGTGAATGCGCATACCGGATCAGTACCAAGTATGTGAAAACAGCCCCCACCCCCACCCCCCAGGTAGCAGTGCCACTGCCCGGACTCCGGCGGGAATGCTGCATTCCGCGGGGCCTCCCTTGGTCAAGCGCGGAATGCTGAGCACGCCGGTGGATCGGTCAACCTCCTCCCATTCGCCGTTCGTGTGCTCCCGTCGGGCTTCGGGTAAGCGCCAAGACCCAAGAAAAAGAGAACGAGGCCCAAGAAAGGAAGTCGAAGGTGGAACACGTCATGTTCGACGACACCAAGACGAGTGTAGAAGACGACGGCGCGTCCCCGGATGTTGCACGTGGTGCAAGCGGGGTATGTACAAGAAGAGTGGAGGGGAGATCGGTAGGGGGGTATAAACAACAAGTATGTATGTATTTACATGTCTTGCTGTTTGGTGGGCCGTGGATCTTCTCCACCACGCGCTCTGCAGCGTTGGTGGGTGGAAAAATATGGCTTTCTCCTCCCGCACTGTCACCTTCATCGCCGCGTCGTCGTTGTCGTCGGCCTCTCCATGGTCGCCCCAGCTCGGTCGGGCCAGACGCCCCACTGCGTAGAGATGTAGGACACCCCTGTTGAGCGTTGGTCGCGCCGGGATGAGGACGACGGAGAAGAGGAAGACGAGGCGCCGAGTGAGAGAGCAGAGAAGCGTGTCGCGTCGATCGAAGAGGGGAGAGGAACGCAAAACGGGCTTAAAATAGAGAGGAGAGAGAGAGAGAGAGGGAAGCGCCGGCCGCCTCCGATGATGTGTAGAAGAGGCAGAGGAGGAAGTGACTGGAGTGGAGTCAAGTAGCAGGAGTAGTGGTGGTGGAGCAGAGGTAGAGGTGGAAGTGGTGGCCGTGCCGCTTAGGAGTACTGGGGGTTCTGACCAGCACCCGAGGACTGGCCCGACTGGCCCTGGTGCGGAGGCTGGGGCTGGTAGTGGTGCGCACCGTGGTGCATGAAGCCGTACTGCTGCTGGTACTGACCTGCTGGGACAACAAGCAAGCAAGCAAGCAAGGCCGCGTGAGCCATCATCACCATCATCATCGTCACCTCGAGTAACTCTATCTCGAGACACGGGTGCACGTACCCTGCTGGCCGAACTGGGGCGAGTAGAACGAGGAGGCGGGGGAGCCCCTGGACATGTCCTGGGCCGAATAGTCGGTGATGCCGAGGCTCTTGTAGGACGAGGCGCCGACGCCGGAGAGGTCCGCGCCGCCCTGCTGCGCGTAGGCGCCCATCTGGGAGGCCTGCTGCTGCTGCTGCTGGGACTTGGAGCTGGAGCTGGAGAGGGACTGGTGCTGGTTCTTCATGCCCATGGTCGGGCTGACGTGGGCGGCCGGGGTCTCGTAGAAGGACTGGCTCGGCATGCCGTACTTGCTGTAGTCATCCTCAGCGTAGCTCGACGCGCCCAGCGACGACGAGTCGGGCGGGGAGACCGGGTAGCCACCGCCCGTCGAGGCGTAGTGCGGCGACTTGTAGTGCGTCGGCATCCGCTGCGGGTACTGGTACTGTGCGCCAACAAAAGTCAGCGTGTGTCGTGCTGCGTTCGGTGTGCGGTGGTGCGCGTGCGGCCGCGGCGGTGCGTGTGGGAGGGGGTGAGTACCTGAGTGAAGGAGGCAGCGGGGTAGGAGTAGGGGTAGTGGTAGCCGTAGACGTGGGGGTACTGCTGGGCGCCGGGGACGCCAAAGTGGTGGGGCGGCTGCACGGGCGGGGGCGACTGCGACTGGGGCTGGCCGGACGAGCCGCGCGGCGAGGGACCCGAGTCGGCGTCGCCGCTCTGCGAGCCGGCCTGCTGGGCGTACTTGCCCGAGTCGCGGTAGCTCTGCGAGCTCGACGACCCGCTGCCGTACTTGGGCTCGGGCGACACCGGGGCGCCCGAACGGTAAGCACCGGTCGGCTGGTACTCGTAGAACTGCGGTCACACTTGAGTCAGTACCAGTACGACACAAAACTTGTAGCGGCGTGTTCTGTGTGTGAGTGTGTGTGCGTGTGTACGGCCAGAGGGAGGATGACATCGCACCATCTGCTGGGTCTCGGGGGCCATGTCCATGGGGTAGGCGGGCCAGAAGGGAGCCGGGTAGGGCAGCGGCGCGGCGTTGAAGGCGCTCATGTCGTAGCCCTCGGCGGCGGGCATGGCGGCCGGGACGGCGGCAGGTGGGGCCAGACCGCGCTGGGGCAGGTGCTGCTGCTGGTACTGCTGCTGCTGATACTGATACTGCTGCTGGTAGTGCTGCTGCTGCTGCTGGTGCTGAGCCGAAGCGGCGGAGGCGGCCGCGGCCTTCTTCTCGCCGGAGCGACCGCCGGCGTTGCCGCCCTTGCGGGGCAGGTTGGGGCTCTGGTCGTTGGAGTCAAGGCTCTGGGCGGGCTCGGGCTGCTTGGGCTCCTTGGCGGCGGGGCGCGCGGACGAGGCGGTCTGGGCCGAGGGCTGCGAGACGGTGGTGGCGGCGCTCACCGACACGGGCGACGGGCGGCTGACGGGCGCAGAGGCGGCGGCCGACGCGGTCGCGGCAGTCTCCTCGCGGCGCACAGAGACGGGGCCGGACTGCTGCTTGACGGGCTCGACGGGCGTGATGGGCACCACCGTCTCCTCCTTGAGCACATTGGCGGGCGGCGCGGCGGGCGTGAGGCCAAAATTGCCAAACTGCAGCTGGAGGCTCTGCTCCTCCCTATCCGAGGGGAACAGGCCCGACGGCAGGATGACGGGCACGCTCTGGCCGATGGCGCCCAGGGCGGCGGCGGCGGCCTGCTGGGCGGCCTGCTGCGGGGCCTCCTTGGCGGTGGTGATGGATTGGGCCGACGAGGGGGTGGAGATGGGCTGCGCGGGCGAGAGCGCGCTCTGGGGCGGCGAGGCGGGCGACTTGGCGCTGGCCGAGGCCGCCTGCTGGGTCTTAGGCTGCCACTGCGAGCTGGGCGATGCCGCGGCCCTGCTGCTGCCGCTACTGCGGCCAGATCCGGAGCCCTTGGCGGCGCCGCTGCTGCCGAACGGCTGGTAGGCCTTGGTGGAGGCGCCCTGAGGGTTCGAGGGTTGCTGTGTGGTGGGCGCGGCAGCGGCGGCGGGTGTCTGTGAGGCGGTTTGTGCGGCGGCGGAGGGAGTCGAGGAGAGGAGAGGAGTCTGGAGCTGAGTCTGGATTGGCTGAGTGGCGGCAGCGGCGGGCTGCTGTGAGGAGGCGGCAGCCTGGACGGGCTGGACCGGCTGAGCGGTGATGGGACCCTTAGGCTGAATTGCCGTCACGGGCTTGAGGGCGGCCACCTGCGCTGCCGTAGGAGCGGCGGCACCCTGCTGTGGCCGTGGCTGTTGCGTGGTCTGCGATTAAGTCCAAAGGGAAAAAGATTAAGTAAAATAATTCACAGAAGCGGGTAGCGAATCTAAAAATTGAAACACAAAATCGAGTGGGCGGGATTTGGCGTCAGTGCGGACGGCGTACCTGTTGAGCAGGCTTGCTCTCGACCTGCGTGGCCTGCGGTCTGCCCTGCTGGGGCGCCGCATGCTGTTCCGATGGGGGCTTGGACTGTAGGGAAAAGAAAATCACGATTACGTAAGTGGATTTTGTTCAAGATCGTAACCGCGGAACTGTGCGACGGATGTGAAGTAGAGGGAGGCAGATGAATGAGAGGGAATTGTGCGTACCTGCTGCTGAGCAATCTGTGCGGTGGGTCCATTGGCCCGCGGGCCACTGCCGATGGGAGCTCCGACGGGAGGACGGGCTCGCTGCTGCTGCTGTGCCGTTTGCGCCGCAATACGCTGGGCAAGGGTAGGCTGCTGTCCGTTCACGCCCATCGACGCAAAGGACTGCTGGGGCTGGGGCTGGGGAGTCGCTACGAGTCCGCCATCCACCGAAGAAGGGCCGCTGGGCTGCTGAAGATGGGCTACGCCGCCATCAGCCGGCGACCGAGGCGCGGCCGCCTGCTGAGCGAGAGGCTGAGCGCCGCCCACCCTTTGCTGCTGCTGCTGCGGAACCGCTCCCCTAGGTCCAAAACCACCCGAGCCTGGCGGCGTAGAAGAGATTAATTAAACGATTAAAGTGTTGGAATGGGTGCTTTGTTGGGTGCGTACCGGGGGCGCCACCAGACGGCTTGCTGTCCGGATACCTGCCACCACGGCCAGCATCGGGTCTTCCAGCTCCGCCGGACCTCTGACCACCATTCTCTGTAGAGCGGGGGGGGGCATTCGCTTGAGTATTGAGAAGGGCAGTGCGATCTCAGCGTTGCTTCTGGAGTGTACCATGAGGGCCACGAGGACCACTCTTGTTGCGGGGGCCAGGGCTGGCCTTAGGCGTCTCCTGCTCAAAAGAAAAGGCAATCGCCAGTGAGATAAATCCTAAGGCATCACAAAAATTTGAGTAGCAAGCCGCACCTTCACGCTCTTCTCGGCCTTCTTCTTCTTTGCGGGCTGCCAATCCTCGCTGGGGTGGCCAGCCTCGCCTACAAGCAAGCGCGGAGCATCACGAATGTGAGTAGAGAGTAGTAGATCTCGCACATTTTCACTGATCGTGTCAAGCGTACCAGTGATCATCTTCTCGATGGCCACTTCGGGGCTTCCATTGCTGTCCTTGAGGATTCTGATGACGTCTTCCGTGGTCCAGCCAGGGACGACATTCTGTATCTGCCTCACCTTCTGCCTGAGCACATCATCTGCCGTCTGCTTCTTGGTCCGCTGCGGCGCGGCCGTAGTCTTTGTCTGGGTCTGCTGCGGCTTCTTCTGTGCCTGCTGGTTCTGCTTCTTCTGTTGTTGTCCGCCTTTCTGTGCATTGCCGCTGTTTTGCTTGCTTTGATTGTCCCTGGACGCCATCTTTATGGTGGTGTGAAAGGGTGGTGTGAATTGGGAGCCTGGGGTGTTGGGGGGATTGGATTCAAATCGAATGGACGATCTGCCGCGTGAGGTGCTGCTGTGTCGCTGGGGGTGGGGGACGAAAAGGCGGACGGAGGTCGCCCTGAATTCTCCCCTCGCCCGGTCCTGGAAAATCGCTAACCCCGAAGCTGTCTAAAATGATGCATAGCAACACATGTCACCAACACCTTTCCACACAGTGGAGAGAAAGTACTGCGTGGTAGCTGTTGTTGAGTGGTGGTTGTTTGTTTGTTCAGAAAGCGAAAGGTGTCTATTTGCACAATAAATAATAAGGGGATGCAATGAGGCAGGACAGGCGATCTCACAGGCCCTCACTTCAGGGCTGCGCAGCCTCTGTCTCGATCTTGGTGATGGTGACCTCGTAGAAGCGCGTGTTGATCGGCAGCCTGTAGGGGGTTCTCTGCAGCCGTCTGCGTCATCGTCATCGTCGTTATCATCATCATCATCATACCATCATCGTCATCGTCATCAAGTCAGCCACAACGGTGCACCAAAAAAGATGAAGGCGGGAGTAGTGGGCGTGCGGAGAAGGAGTGGCCGTACCGCTACGAATTCCATAATGAACACGACCTGGCCGATGATGTGGTCCCTCCTCGTCCTGTGCTGCTCGCGAAAGAGCTCTCGCGACTCCTCCGAGAGAAAGTAGTTCGGCGCGCCCCTGTTGAAGGCCTCGTAGCGCCCCGCGGACGAATCGAACTCGAAGCACATGAGGTCGTCCACCTTCAATGCGGCACGAAGTGAGCGACCCACGCACACGCACTCGCACACGCACACGCACACGCACACGGGTAAGAAGTTTACCTTGAAGTCGCTGAGGGCGAGCATGCGTTGCTTGCTGGCGGTGAGTTCGGCGATCTTCTCCTCCAGGGCCTTCTTGGTCTGCTCGGACTCCTGGCGCAGGAGCTCCAGCGTCTGCTCCAGGTTGCGGAAATCCTCGAGCTCCTTCTTGTTCGTCGTCAGCGACTCCTCGAGCTCGTTCATCTGCTTCGTCACTTCCTTCAACCTGTCGTTCAGATCGCCCAGAAGGAACTCCTGCGCTCGCCACACGACACACACACACACACACACAACACACACCGCGACACGCGCACGCGCACACGATCAGTGATTGAGGCAATCGGGGGGGGGAGGCGAGGGGGAGTACCTTGGCCTTGTTGCTCTCGAGGAGTGTGGCGATGTTCCGGTCCTTGATATCGAGCTGCCCGTGGAGTCCGGCAAGCGTCTTGCTGAGCTCCTCTGCCTCGGTCTTGCCGTCGTGCTGCCGCACCGCCATCTCCGCCTCCTGAGCAGAAGAACGCTAACGCTGTCAGTGCCTGACACGACACGACCAACGACACGACACAAGAGGGAGAGAGCGATCGAGACAGGCGAGTGCGTGGGGTCGGGGGGTCGCGCACCAGGGCCTCCTTCTGCTCAGCGATGGCTTGGCGCTGCTCTCGCTCCTCGTCGAGCGCCTGCGTGAGCCTCACGATCTCTTCCTCCTTGGCCCGGATATAGTCTTCGAGGCGAGCGATCTGCAGCTCCCCCTCTTCGTTGCGCGCCTGCGTGAGCCTCGCGATCTCTTCCTCCTTGGCCCGGATATAGTCTTCGAGGCGAGTGATCTGCAGCTGCTTGTCCTGAACCTGGAGGTCCTTCTCCAGCAGCGATCTGTGGAGCAGCTCCTTCTCCTGCACGCGACGAGTGACGACGCCACGGCCCAGGGCGAGCAGCAAGGCGGAAAGAAAATAAGAAGAAAAGAAAAAGAAAAAGAAATGTTTGCTTTTGCGCTGCTGGAAGACGACGAACCTCCTCGAGGGCCACGCGCAGGTGGGTGACTTCGGCCTCCTTCTCGACCTGCTCGCCGATCTTGCTCTCCAGCTCCTTCTCCCTCATCTGTGGGTGCGCCAGACGTGTAAGTTAGCGCTAAGAAACGAAGAAGAAGATGAAGTAGAAGAAGCAGAAGAAGATAACGTTGGCGCTGCGTGTGTACGAACCGAGAGGGTCTGTTGGAGGACACGCGTCCGTTCTTCGAGTTGGCTGATGCTCTTGGCCATCGACGCCTGCTCCTCTTCGACCAACTGCGACGCACGATTGGCCTCCGCCAGCAACTGCATACCATTTACCCGCACACCACAATCGGCGCTCGTTCAGCACAACCGCGCATCGGCTCACCCACCCACCACCCACCGCCTACCGCCGCCGCCACCCGACGCACCTCCTGCCGCCCGATTTCATCGCCCAGCGGCCCGCTTCGCTCTCGCCGCATCGGAATGCCTGGCAATAATAAAAAGGAATAAAGTAAGAGAAGAATGCCAGGAATGAGCGGGGGGGGGTGCAAGCAGTCAGCTGAGTTACCGGAACGGCCCGGGGTGAAGGTGCTGGACGAGGTGGGACTCTCCGACAGACCGAACGTGGCCGACGAGGTGGGCGACGCCAGGTCGGCGATGGCCAAGGCCGTCGAGGCCGAAAGCGATTTGCCCTTCTCCATGTCGTACTGCGCTAGCACCTGCAAATTGTGTGTGTGTGCGTGGTAAGCGCGTGGTTTGCGGCGCTGTGCGGGTATATGGCCAGAGTGCGACATCATACATCCATGGCGGCCTTCTTCCTCGCTTCTCGTTCCGCTCGCGCCTGTGTGTGTGTGGTCAGAGGCAGGCCATTCAATGCACAGAGCCTCCACAACACTTTTTCCTTAAGTCCACTCGAGAGGAGATGAGACGGGGTAATGTTACCTTGCTGAGCGATTTGGCGAGCTGCTGGCTCTGCTCCTCCGTCAGCTGCGCCGTCGCCTTCTGTTCTTGCAGAAGGGCCTGGTGACCGGTCAAGGTCAAGGTGTAGAAGAAGAACGGTTAAATATCCAAAAAAACACGTTTTTGTTCTTTTTAGTGCACAACGTCCAGCGAAGGAGGTTACCTCCTTCTCGGCTTCGACCTGCGCGAGCTTCTGCACGATCTCCCGCTCCGCCTTCTCTCGCTCCACAAGCACCGCCTGTGCCCGCTCCAGCTCTTCACCAGCGAAACAAAGACGCCTCAGATATTGAGACACGACACACACACATACACACGACACACACACGACACACACACGACACACACACGACACGACACACACACACACACACGATACAGACACGACACGCGGCTTCCGTGAAGTGGTGGTGGTGGGTACGGTACCGTCCTTCAGAGCAGCGATTTGGGTGCGAAGGTCGTCCCTCTCACGCGCGGTGAGGTCGAGCCGCTCGAGGGCCTCGCGCACGTCGGCCTCCAGCGCCGCCTCGCGCCGCCTGCACTCCTCCAGAGCGCGCTCGTGCGCCTCCACGCTGTCGGCGCCGCTCCTCTTCGCAGCCTCGAGCTCCTCCTCGAGCGCGATCTTGCGCCGCTCGAGCGCGCTCACGCGCTCCCGCAGCTCGGCCCCGTCGTGCGCCGCGGCCTCGAGCTCCTCGTCGCGCCGCTTCTGTCGGCCCTTTTCCTCCATGAGCGTCTCGTGGGTCTCGTGCAGGTTGCTGACCAGCAGCCGGTTCTCCTCGCTCAGCTTGTTCAGCCGCTCGCGCAGGTCCTCGCACTCGACGCGCAGCGCCTTCATCGCAGCCCGCTCCGCGCTCACGTCCACGCTTCCGCTGCTGTTGTTTCCGCCGAAACCCACATCGGCGCTTCCGCCGAACCCGGCGTCGGCTCCGTGTGCGGCGGCCGGTGGCTTGCGGGCGGCCTCCCAGTCCTTGAGCTTGCCCTCCATGAGGGCCAGGGCCTCGCGCATCATCCGCATCTCGCGCTCGGCGACGGCCACCTTCTTCTCGGCCGCCTCGCGCGTCTGTTCGGCCAGGGAGGCCTGGCGATAGGTCTCGGTGAGCTTCTCCTCGAGGCTCAGGATGCGCTGCTGGTACGACTCCTCGACCCGCTTACGCTCGGCGCCGCTCAGGCCCGTCATCGAAGACGACGGCGACGCCAACGACGACGACGACGACGCCGCGGGCGACGAGTAGGGCGAGCGGTACATCGCCGCCGCCTCGTCCTCGCGCTCTCGCTCCCGGCTCGGGGTCTTCATCGGCGTCTTCTGCTTCTGCTGCTCGCGTTCGCGCCTCAGGCCCTGGATCTCGGCCACCAGACGCGCGTTCTCGGCTTCGAGTGCGCCCAGTCGACCAGACAGCTCCGTCGCTGTCGTGCGCGCATCACGCGTGAGCACACATACACGGCACGCACCGCACGCACGCACGACACTCACACACACACACACACACACACACACACACAATACTCCAGGTAGGCAGGCGCACAGGATCGGGTGTTGATGGTGCCGGAGCCGCCACGGGGCGACGACTTGGGCGGAGAGACGCCCAGCTCAGAGTTGAGGTTCATCAGGGGCGGCGCCGCGTGGGCCGAGTCGACTTGCGGCTCGATGGCGGGCAGGTTCCTGTCCAGCGCCACTGGGAACGCCCTGCCTACTTTGCACGAACCCCCCCCCCGACACAGCCCAACGCACCGATCGGTGTTGGGCGGTCAGCAATCGATCAATCTTCAGCCCACGAGTGTGTGAGGGGGTCAATAATAATAATAAATAAATAAATAATAAAAAGTCGCAGGTGTTTACCAAAGGCGCTCACAAAGTCGGGCAGCTCGTCGGGCAGTCCGGGGATGAGATTCTTAGGAATGTAGCGGCCGTGCTTGGTCAAGAACCTGGTGCCCCATTATTGCCCGTTAGCTTTTAAATTCTTATTATTAATAATAATAATAATAAATACTAAAATAACAAAAGACAATATAATCAGGGGGTGTACGCGTCTCTCTGTTTGATCTCGTCGTCGCGGATCCTGGCGAGCCGCTGGGCGAATTGGGTAAAGAGGGCCGCGAGCTGCTTCCCGAAGGCCTTGCGACGGACGACCTCGTCCAGGGCCGCATGGTAGGCATCCGGCAGGTACCGCACGTAGAACAGCTGCGCAAACGCCTGCAGCGCATAGATGTGTCGTGTCGTGTCGTGTCACGATGCGTGAGTCTCACACACGCGCGGGGGTGTTCACACGCGGCGCATATCATCCGGGTGGGGTGGGGGGGAAGATCACGCACTTGCTGCTGTCGGGTGAGGGCCTCGCGCAGGACGAGGAACTTGTTGATGATGTCCCGCACGCGCGCCTCCAAAATAGCCACGTGCTGGATTCTTGCGTGCAGAGCCCCCGAAAGCTGTGTCTGTTTTTGGGTTTTGTTTTAATATAATATAATATAATATAATATAAATAAATAAATAAATAAATAAATAAAAACACAGAGAATGTGCAATTGGTGGCGGTGGGGGTGTACCTTGGATTCGGCGCAAGCAGTCAGCACCTTTGCGCTGGCCAAGTCGATCTTGGTGAGGCGGTCCAATTGTTTGAGGTGAACCTGAACACACGCACTCCCCAGTGAGCTAAAGACCGCACGACACGACACACACGACACGCAACACGACACACGCTCTTCTGAAAAAAGAAAAGAGGCGGTCGTTACGGTCTTCATGCTGTCGAAGCCATCGCATATCTCCCAAGAGCCGCCCTCGCCCTTGCCGCGGTGGAGGTCTTCGATGGTGGCGGTCACGCTCTTGTAGTCCTTCGAGAAGGAGGCCTTCGTCGACGCCACCTCCTGCCGCAGGGGTCCCGTGTTCTTGAGTCCCTCCTTGAGCCCCTCGAGGCTGCCGCCCCACACACACAGACGCCGACCACACAGCGCACACGTCACGATCAGCTCACCACACCAACGAAGCCGCCCCAGGTCGACCACATGTAAACGTACTTGACCTCGAACCCGGCGGCGAGCGAGTCTATTTCCCTCTGCGTGCTCACGATTTGATGTTCCACCTCCTCCAGTCGCAACCTCAATTGCTCTGTCGTGTCGTGTCGTGTTGTTGAGTTGTTGTACCATCAGCAATCATGAATAGCGCTGGAGCAGCGAGCAGTGGGGGGTGAACGCGCACCGTTGCCCTTCTGGCAGTCCTCCGCCCACTTGCGCAGGCGGGCCTCGGACACCACGTCCATGAGGGTCTGCATTCCTCCGTTCCGCAGCGCCGGGTGCAGCGTCATCTCCCGCAACTGTGCGCGGCCAGCAAAAGAAATGTCAGCACACCCGACCAACAGTCATGTCATGCGTCGTGTGCGGTGTGTGCGTGTGTCGGACCTTCGCGAGGTCGGTTTCAAACGATTCGAGGAGATTCTCGTGCTTGCTCTTCTGTCGTTGGTAGTACTCGTTGAAGGCCTCGAAGCTGGGCGGCACTTGCCGGTACTGCTCGTTCAGGTGCGCCACCGCCACGTCCAGCGCCTGCACACGACCGCGGTGAGGACCATTTCCATCAGAGTTGCACTCGAGCGGGAAAAAGAAAAGAAAATGAAAAGAGGTATTGCGTGGACCTTGGCTTGCATGTCCTGCTCGGCGCAGCAATGCCTCGACATGGCGATCCGCGAATCCACAGCAACGAGCACGGCCTGATTGACATCGATTTATATCAATGGTTTGCTGTTAGTGCTGCCAACATCAACAACATCATCAACATATCTCTGCCTACATAGTGTATTTTGATCCATATAGTACATATATTGGAAATGTACCTTGGCAAAGTTAAGGTGGCCGAGGAACTGGTGCTGGTACTTGAGGAGCGTGCCCACGAGGCCCGTGGCGTTGGGCGCAGCCGTTTCGGGCGGCACGCGGGTCTCTATCGGACCGAGTACTGTGTTTCGCCGCCGGCAGGAAAAGAGCGAGCGAGAGTCAGCCAACCCATCGCCACGCCATGTTTTAACATTCCCCTGGTGCTGTGCGCAGATGGTGGTATGTACCGGTCTCTTTGGGCGCCGGCGTTCCCGGCATGAGCTGCTTCCGATTGAAGAGGAACACCGGCTTGTCCTCCTGTGTGCATTTCGATGGAAGAGAATGTGACCACATTGTTAGCATTTTGTTGGAGAGAGTTGGGGTGGTGTAGTGCAATGGTAAGGGCGCGTGAGGGAGTGGTGGGGGGGGGAAGCCGTACGGCGGGCAGGTGGTAGGCAGCGAGCGTGTTCGCGTCATCGAGCTTGTACCTGTCGAAGAGCAGAATCTGATCGGCCGCCTCCACTCCCGCCAGGCTCGCCAGCTCAGCTTTCACCGACGCCACGCTGCAGAGAAACCGTCAAGGCGCCGCCCCACACACACACACCAAAACAGCAAGTGTCACACAACGTAAGACATCAACAGGGCAAGGTGGCGGCATGGAAGGGGGAGGTACGTGGAGTTGGGAGAGCTGCCGACATCGTAGGCTTCTCCTGTGTCGGCTCTGCACCACGCACGGCCCAAGAGTGAGTTGCAAAAGGCCCAAAAAATGGAGAAAAAGGATATGACAAACAAGAAAAATACATAGAAAACACAACACAAAAGGGGGAGATGAGCAAAATGGAGAAGAGGTAGCTTGTGACGATGGGCAAGAAGTAAGAGGCCAATCACACCATCACAATAATTGAAAGAGATAGGATGGAAGGAAACGAACCTGTAGACCTTCATGCGAGGGAACAAAGGCAAATGAGAAGAGGGAAAAGTTTGATCTCCTTTCCCTCTTCGGATGGGTTGTGTAAGATGCGAAATTTAACGCGTTGCGGTTCTTGGCTTGTATCAAATTGAATCTTCACCGATTTCCAGGTAAGCACGCGTGGCCAGTTCGCGTCCTGTTTGGTTTCTTTTGTATCCTCTCCTTTTCTTTGTTTTGGCCATTTTCATTTTCTGCTTCTTTTCGACCAAAATTACAGACGCCAACGACCGATCGAACCCCGTCGTCTTCAATCCTCCCATATGGTGTGAGAAGAAAGAAAATATTATCTAATATCTTGGACGCAAAAAAAGCTTTATATATTTCTTGGTTGTTTTATTACACATCCCGGAGAACTACAGTCCCGGACTTGAGTTTCCACTTCCGGAGGGCTTCAAGTTGTCGCGTTCGCTTCTCCTGCTCCTCCTTCTCCACTCCGCTCTTCCGTGCAGCTTGCCGCTTCATCTTCTCCAGCGCCTCTTCCGCTCGCGCCTCCTTCTTGATCTCGTCCTTGCTCCTCTTCCCGCCGCCTCCGCCTCCGCCGAGCGAGCTCACGCCCGACCTGTGCTTGCTCTTTTGATGAAGATGACGCTCCGCGAGCGTTGATAGCTGCTCGGCCTCGGCCTGGTATCGGTTCTGGTGCACCGAGGCGAGCAGGGCCTGGGCCTCGAAGATGTCCTCCTCGGCGAGCCCGGCCAGGAGCCCCTCGGCCAGCTGGCTCTGGAGGAGCCACACCTCCTTCTGCTGCTGCCCGGCCGCCATCTCGTCGCCGTCGACCAACACCGACCGCTTGTGCTTCTTCTGCTGTGCTCGGCCCGCCATGACTCGTGTCGTTGTACGCTTCTCTTTCGTTCTTCTTTGGCTGTCGCTTTCTCTCTTTGGGTTCGCTTTCGCTCTTTGGTGCGGGTTGCGTTGGGGGTGGTACTGGGCGGCTGAGTCGTGAGCAGGAGGGAGGTTTGGTGCGAATGACTGTCTGACTTCTTGCTGGTCCCTTTTGTAGCTGTCCGAACTGGAACATGGGTGCGGCCCGCGGGGAGAGAGATGTAGCGCCGGTTGTTAGGCCACACATGTTCCGGAAAGCCACGATATGATTCCGGGTGGTTCCTGTTTTCTCAGTTACCAAGTCTTTCCAAAGAGAGACTGCCTTTACTGCACACTGTCGTAGTTAGGTCAAGGAAACTCTAGCTGGGTTGAATCCGAAAAGGACAGCCTGATGTCCAGCAAAAGCCGACTGCTGGGTAATTGCGGGGTGAATGTGGGTAAATACCAGGCGCACAGGCTAATTTGCCGGCTATCGTACGATCACTTAGGAAATCCAGACCTTGAGGAGAAAGGCCACAAACCGTTCCGCTCTGGCCATTGGTGGCCTGGGCTATGCTCCCCTCGAATCAGGCTCAAGAGAGGAACGCCACAATCATGGGCGGGGCGGGAAGGACTGGGCGAAATTGAGGCCGCAGGCGAGCGTCCACACCTTGGCGTCAACGGTCATGCCCTCTTCCCTCATGAGTCCTGAAAGATCCCAAACACACAGCGGTCAGAGTACCGTGTATGTGTGTGTGTGTGGGGTCACGGAGCAGGTACGGTTGAGGGTGACAAGCAGTTGGCTGAGGGGCACCAGCCTCGTGGCAATGCACTCGCCGTCCTCCATCTCTGTGCTCGGCCGGAATGAGTCGGTCAGCGTGTGTTTCTACCCACTCCGGCGAGGTAGGGAGCCGCACCAGGCACAGGGTGGATGTTCTCCTCGAGATTGCCATCGATCTACGCGGGTGCGTGAGTGTGTGAGTGTGTGAGTGTGTGAGTGTGTGAGTGTGTGAGTGAGTGTGAGTGAGTGTGAGTGTGTGGCGAAATCAAGTGTCAGGTCAGAGTGAAACGAGCGGTCATGGTACCAAGACTTGGACGACTGCACACGTGGCACTGGTGAGGCCGGGCTCGTAGCAGGTGTCCGGGCTGACTCCCACGACAGTGCCTGCGCGCCAATCAATGATCAAACACTACACATTCTTCACATAGAGACTTGTTCGGACGGGCGGCACCTCTGTATCCCGTTTCCTCCTTGAGCTCACGCAGCGCGGCCTGTTCGGCCGTTTCGCCCGCATCGACGAGGCCTGGCTCAACAGCATATCAGCCTACATGCACACATGACATCGCACACATACCGCCGCAACGCCGCACCGCCGCACCACCGCACGCGCGCGAAGCTTGCTGTACCTGAAGGGATCTCGAGGCAGACCTTCTCTGTGGGTGGCCTGAACTGTGAGATGATGACAATGCGATCCTCCTCGCCATCCTTCCGCACAATCGCGATGATGTCCACGGCTGTGTGTCGTGTGTGTGTCGGTGTGTGTTCGGTGGAACATGCACGTTCCACGCGCTTTGCAGTGAGCGACTCGCAGTGCATAATGGTTTAAGACTTTGTATTTGCGTACCATCGACCACACCGGTCTGCTTGGTGGTGCGCGTGACAGCCTCCCACACGCGGTGCCGGCCCTTGTTGTCCTCCCAATTGATCTGGCTGAGCCCTAGCCACTTCTCGCGGTGCACCTGGCGACGAAGCAAAGAATGAAAATTGATTGATGATTTATCCCCTCTGAAGGTGATTAATTTTGATCATCAATTCATTGGCCAGATGGAAGTCGGTAGGGTGGTACCTCCTTCCACGAGTGGACCTTGGGAGTCTTGGTGTCCTGTTGCCTATTGTCTTCCATTTGTTTTATTAATTGAAATGGCCATTTCCTTTTAAACTTTTCCTTGTTCATTTCTTTTCTTTGTCCTTTGGTTGAAGAAGACCACAACACTCCCCTCTCGCCCTCTTCAGTCCTCGTTCGCCCACCATGCGCCCCGGCCCTGCTCTTCTCGGGGTTGCGGTGCTCTTCCTTGTTTCGCTCCTTCTCCCCGTCCGGACCGCTGCGACTGCTGACCAACCAAGCGAAGAACATGAAGAAGATGACGCCACTCTCTTGTGGGACGAAGCGACGCGTCAGGGCGACGTCGCACCAGGAGGTTCTTGTGCAGCTGCCCGCGCCAACGGCAGCCCGGCCAAGAGGAAGCTCACCACCGACGTGGTGTCCAAGGCCCTTCTGCGGCTGGCTACTCGGTTGCCCCTCGAACGTGCCCCTCTGCCTCCACCTGTGAAAAGGTAAGCCCTGCCTCACCCAACTGCCACTATTATCATAGTACAAGAATATATACCACTATATACATATTTTCTGATACAACGGACATGTATATTGCCACCCCTGCAGGCCGCTGCTGAAAGGACCGTCAGTGGTTCGAACGCCGGAGGAGAGGCGGCAGAAGGTGGAGGAGCTCAAGGAGCTTCGAGGGAGCCTGCTAGAGGACCGACAGCTGCGTCATGCCGTTACCCACCGCGACCGCTTGCAAGCCAGCGGACAGCGACAATGTAGAGCTTGACCAGCGCAGAGCTTTCATGCCATCCGCTACATGCGGCCCTTTTTGTTGGTTGTAGTTCAGTAAGCTCATGCATGAGAACCTCCTCCTCCCGTGGGCAGGGCGAAGGTGTCGTCCTTGAGGTTCTTCAAGGAGAGCCGCACGGCCTGCAAGCTCCTGGTCAGCCGGTTGGACGACCTCTTCTTCAGGGTGCTGTTGTTGTTGCTGCTGGTGCCGATGTCGGTCGCGGGCTTGTGCTGCTGGATGGTCGAGCCGCCATAGTCCTGCGAGGGCTCGCACAGACGGGAGCGCTGGATGAGCTCCTTCTCGCCCAGCACGATGGGCGGTTGCTTGAGGTATCGCATGACCACCTCCACCTCGTTGAATTTGTAGGCCACCTTCTGCAGGTGGGCGATGGTGACCGTGACCTTGGCCAGCAGCGCCATCTTCTCAAAATTGATCCAGTCGTTCTCGAGCCGGTCCACGTTCTCCTCGATGAAGGTGAGCTCCTTGAGGTTGAGCGCCTGGAAGGGGATCATGGGCGGCTTGGTCGCCGCCACCAGCTTTCGGTAATTGGCATAGTTGTGGCTTGGGTCTGTGATTGCAGCTGTTGGTGTCAAAGAAGAAGACAGACTCACATCAGTGCTTTGAAGATGAAGAAAGAGAAGATGATGAAGAAGAGGTGACGACGCACAGATCTCATTCAGTCGCTGAAGGTGTTTGGCGCTGACGCCCTTCCAGGAGGCTTTGAGCCGCGAGACAGAGGAAAGGTTGAGGGCTAGGTGGATGGCCATAACGGCGTTGAAATTGGCCAGCTTGAGGCACTGGGCGGCCAGGTCGATGAACCGCTCGATCACCACCGACCGTTGCTTCTGATTCGGCGTCAGCACGATCTCCGTGGCCACCCAGTAGCATGTCTGCGCAACAAACTTCATGTCAGCCATCGCACTTCTTAATTCTTCACAATGGTCGCCATGTACATGATCACACAATGGAACTCGCACCTGATTGAATCGGTCGATGTAGTTGCGAATGAATGGCGCTTTGTTCCTGTTGGCCGAGCTCCACGCACTTCTGAAAAACTCCTCGTTGGGAATGGCGGTGAAGTAGGTCCACTCCAGGCGGGTTAGCTGTCGCGCCATCTGAACCACATTTTCCCCCCAGCACACAGAAGAGTTACATCAAGGCTACACTCACGAAGAACACACAACCGGGCAAAGCGAACACGATACCTCGATCGGTGAGATGTCGAGCAGAGAGGGGGATTTGTGGAGTGGCACGAGGGACTGTGGTGCGTCCCAGTAGGTGGGAGGCCGTCCGACCCGTTCGTCGACCCGGTGCTGCGCTTTGGCCTAAGGACAAAGGTTAGCAACGGGAGGGAAATTGCCTGCGGGCTGTCGGAGGGTGTGTACTCTTTCTATACAAAGCATGCGCCAGCTGGGGGACTTGCCGGCCACTGCCTGGACCTGGTTCTCGAAGGCGTCGAGTTGTTCCTGTAGCAGGGTGTTGTCCAGGAAGTCGGAGTAAAACATGTTGACCCACAGCCTCACGATCTTGATGATTCTGTTCAATGTAGAAGTAGAAAGAAGAGTTAGTCATAGATCGATCGAGGACGAAAGACATGGGGTGGAAAGCACTACTCACTTTTGTCGAATCGCCGCCTGCTTGGCCCGGCAAGTCCTGAAGCTATCAGCATCCATGGCGCAGCCCTCCAGGTGAATGCCTAGGTAGCTGGTGAAGTAAACACAAACAACGTGAGAGACCAACCAAACAAGCGTAAAGTGAATCGCACATCATACATCAGCACGTACAAGGTTTGAAACCGTTTCATCAAGCTGACAGCGTCTGTGTAGTAGCGGTGGGTAGCCAAAAACTTCTCTATGAATGGGTCGTCTCCTGTACAACACCCACAACCCCACAACATACCATCAGTCGGGGTCCAATGGTGACATGGTGGTCAGAGAACGTACCCAGGTGTGTAAGGAGTGCTGCAAAGAGGCCCTGGAAGGTGCCCGACACCACCACTGGCCGGCCGTCCACATTCTCCAGTCGCACCTCGTCCCCCGCCAGCTTCGAGTAGAACTCGACCGGGTCGTCCCCCACAGCTTCACCGGTCATCGCCCACACGCCACTCGCACTGAGGGTCGTTCTGCTGGTCTCCTCCTCTTCCACCGCCTCTGCCTCCTCCGTCACTACACCGTCTTCTTCTACTCGAACCGCGGCCTCTACTTCGGCCTCGGCTGAAAGCTGGACCGAGAGGTAGGTGTGCTGGGCCGAGTAGTCCCAGGAGGCGAGGAAAGGCTCTGAAATGGCTCTACGCGGCCTCACCACCACGTCTGCGAAGGTGGCGACCTGCGCCGTCTTCTTCATGACCACCAGCGTAGTGGTTCTACGCTTGCGGCCGCCGCCCTGAACCGGTTCGAGGCTGTCAGACGCCAAGCCTCCGCCCTGGCCCCTGGAGGGGGCATCCCACAGCTTGGCTTCGGCTGGAGGCGAACCTCCTCTTTCACCATTGAAACAGGTTGATGGAGGGAGTGGTGAGGTGGCGAGCCGGGTAGAAGTGGTCGCAGTGGTCGTGATAGCAGGACGAGGGGGGTAAAGTGACATTTTGACGGGGTACAGCTCGCCGCTCTCTGCTGCTATGATCCATGAAGCCACGTTCCTTCAAGCCAAACACCTTCCGCTTCTGTCGGAGGGGTGGCCTCTTCTTTCCCGGTTCCGTTTCTGGAATTTGTGTTATTTTGAAAAAAAAACAATTTTTAATCACCAACCGATTGATTTGACAATTCTCGGATTCTCAGAGTGACGAAGGAGGCCCACGCCCAGGCTCGTTTCAAGGTCCCAGTTGGCTGAACGGCTTCTTAAAAAGGTCAAAAAGATAAGGGTCAAACCAAGCAGTACCAAAGGGACATGCACCTAACTCCCTTTATGTGCACTGGTCCCTTGAAGTCAACGGCGCGAGGTTAGTAATCCCACCATCACAGTGACCACCTCAAGTGGCTTCAAAATGGACCCACCAGCCCACCCCACAATCCCATCTTCAGCCCAGCACCACCACACATCAGACTCCAACGCCAATGAGCACCACGACACCCTCACACAACAGGTCCTCTTCCCCACAGGGCACTAGCACTTGGGCGCTGATCATCAAGATCAAGGCCAAGGTCCTCCCCAGGACGTCCGATCAGCAGGTAAGCTTCATCAAGTTCGACACTGCCCAGATGGCGGAGCGAAGGCGGGATCTTTGGAAGAGGCAGGCCGCCTGGCTGGCCGATCGCGACCCTCCTACACCCGATCCCTTCCAGTGCGCTGAAGCCGTGCTCGAGAAGAAACAGAGACAAGCCGAAGCGCTCATCAAGTGGACCTCCAGCTACCACGCCGACACCGCCTTGCGCTCCCCTCAACGATGAGGTGGATGTAAAACAGGATTGGGCCAAAAAGTAAGAATAAATTAAAATTAATCATAACAAATAAAAATAAATGACGCAAGCGGAGACCTGAAGGTGGGTGGGTCAGAGGCTGCTGACGACGGTGAGGATGTCGCTGACGCCCACGTGTTGGCCCAGGTAGTCGATCAGGTCGTGCGGGACGCGGTTGCGGTAGTTGATCCCCTTCTCCCACACCACGTAGCGACACAGGTGCTTGAGCCTCTGCGTCCGCACCACGTTGCGCCCCTGTGCGCATGCGTGTGCGGTGGTGCGAGTGCGGTCGCGGTGCGTGCAGGCGCGCGTGTGCGGTAGTTGTGGTCACGCTACTGGCTGGCAGAGTGACAATGGTCAAATAGGTCCCAGATCGGGGGATGATGCCGTACCATCTGGAGCCGTTTGTCGAGGAACCGCCGCACGGGCTTGGCCGATTGGAAAGAGAAACTGATTCGCGTCTGCAACAACTCCCGTATCACCTGTTGTGTCGTGTGCGATTGTGTGTTATGTAACCTCTATGTGTGCTGTGTGTCGAGTGTTCTTCGTGCGTCGTGTGTGTCGTGTGTGTCGTGTGTGTCGTGTGTGGTGACGTGTCAACGCACCAGGTCGATATTTTCCATGAGGCGAAGGCTGATCAGGTTGGGACCCTCGGTCTCGTCGATGTAGAGGTTGACCCGCCCGAGGAGCTGGAGATTGGCCAGGGTGAGCGCCGCGAACGGGACCACACGGCTGCCCGACTGGTCGTCGACATCGCGGTAGTGCTTGGTGCTCAGGCTCAGCTGCAGGTGCGTGCTCAGCACGTCGGCCTCGCCGTGGAGCGACGACCCCGATTGGTACAGGAGCATCATCTCCTTCAATTGCTCCGTCTCCTCCTCGTTCAAGATCTGTGTTCCTCTGAATTTTAGTGTGTCGTGTGTGTCGTGTGTGTCGTGTCGTGTCGTGTATCGTGTCGTACCTCGCGTAGTTCACCAAAGAGAGGGTGAAGAGCCACCATGACCGCTGCCAGAGTATTTAGATTCCTGATCTCCCTCAGATGCTACGACGCACAACGACACACAACAACACATGCGGCACACGCACGTCATACGCCCGACAATACGATAAGCACGACACACACGACACACACAGGGAAAAGTGGTACCTGACTCACGAGGAAGAAATAGCGCAGGGCCGAGTCTCGATTGAGCGGACCCGCGCGACCTGCGTCGTCGACCTCCCTGCGCACCCAGTGCACGATCCCGGCGAGCTGGTCGATCAGCTGCACCACGCGGGGCATCTTCCGCTCCATGCGCGCCCGGGCCTCGGGGTCGCCGTCGCGCCGGAGCACCACGTCGTGGAACCGGAGCCGCGCCTTGAACCACCACACCAGCTCCCAGGGCTGCAGGCGCCCGTAGGCCTCGCCCTGCAGGAGCGTAAGCTCCCTGGCCATGTCTTCCGCCAGTACCTCCTCCATGCTCCCCTGTCCACACGCATGTGAGCCAATGTGTCGTGTCGTGTCGTGCGTGTCGTGCGTGTCGTTCGTGGCGTGTGTGCGGCGCGGGTGCGTGTCGTGTGGGGGGGGGAACGAGTGCCAGTTCGATGTCGTCGGGATAGAATGGGTCTTGGGGTGGCTGCTGGGAGGGCGAGGCGTCGAGCTCCAGCCGCATCGTCTCGAGGGTGGTATGCGACTGCGCGTCACGGAGCGGGGCGTTCCTTGCCTGGCGCGTGTCGTGTCAACATGTGTGTGCGTGTGCGGTGGCGCGCGTGTGCGGCACACATACCGAGGCGATGAACATCTTAAGCGTTTGCGCTGCGTTGCGCAACGGCCCCGCGTCCACATTCTCGAGAATGCCGTTGGCAAAGTGCTCCTGATTGGGGGGGGGGGTGAATCACGTGTCAGCCACTCAGGCCAGCGACAACCACACAATAAGGGATCCCGCACAATCTTGTCCACGGCTTTGCTGAGTGGGTTGCGATCGAGGAGCAGGGGCAGCGTCAACCGCAGCATTCTCAGCGGCTTGTTGACGCGCACGCTGCGAATGGGGTGGGTGCGTGGCTCGTCAGATCGCGCTCGCGCTCGCACGCAACCACCACAAACATGTGCCATGAGTTGCAAGTTCGGTACTGGGCTCTGGCGTTCCACTGGCCCTCGGCGTAGACGTCCTCCGGGTTGAACTGCTGTATGACGAGATCCAGGAAGTGCTTGGATGGCGTGTACAATCGGTGACAATTGACCAGCATGAAGAACTGCGTTGGGTATTCTGCCGAGAAATAGAAATTAAATAACTATAATTTATTTGAAATAAATGAATTTATAAATTGAGAAGAAGAAAGGAGCACCTTCTGGAGTCTCGGGGTCGGTCAGCACGGCGACCAGCTTCTCCAGGGTGGCGGCCCGGATGGGCTTTGGTCCCCTGCCACTGTCCCCGAACAGCGACACCTGCGGTTAACCAATTGGAGCCACGTAAATAAACAGCGCAGGGCGCCGGTGCATTGATCATGCAGTGTAGAAAGTACCACATAGAGGATGTCCACCGACGGCGTGGTCTCTGTAGTCATTGGGTGGTTGAATAAAAGCGAAGACTGCAGAGCAGACAAAGAAAATGCCAAAAGAAATAACCTCGAAAATCACTTTACAATTTAATCTGTCTAAATTGAACAAAATATAAAAAAAAATGGCAGTGCGTCTGTCGCTGCGTGTAGAGAGTGGTACCTTGTACACGTCCTTTCGTGCGCGAAATCAAACAATCATTCTTGTACCTGATTTAATTCTCACAATTCGCACTTTTGAACAGGCGGACACGGGAATTCAGTAGTGTGGGGCGCTCAAGTGCGACACGAGTCCGATGACACCGTCACCCTCTCCGTCGTGCGACAAGGTATGCCCCTCCACGCCGTTGCTGCCGCCTTCGCGCCCAACGCAGTGCACTCACGCAACTGCCTGGCACTGCGTGATAGATCCACTCGACGATGCCCCAACACAAACCTACGAGGTTCGCTCGCGTGCAGCCCCTCCCCTACACGTGTAGTTGCAGGACAGCCGCAGCCGACACTCTTTTTGTTGTGTGCGATGTGCGTGTGTGCGTGTGCGTGTGTGCGTGTGCGGTATCATCGTCAGAGCAAGCTGAGCAAAGCGGCGGCCAAACGGTTATGGAAGGAGGTCAAGCGGGTGGCCGTGTGGACCCTGCCCCGCACGGACTACGCCCAAAACCTCTCCGACGACTGCTACCACTTGGGTACGCAGCCGATCCGCGTGGCATCCAATGGTGGTGCGGTGTGTGCGTGTGCGGCAGGGCGCGTGCGATGTTTACATCTTCTGCGCGCAGGCATCTCGGTGGAGGTGGAGCACAAGGACTTCGGCACGTTCAAGCACCAGGTCCCTACTGGACCCATCGTGCTTGTTTCCAGCGTCAACCCCAACTGGACTGGTACATCGATGTCATCGTGTGTTCAATGTTCAATAGGTGGCATCGCCAACGGGGTTGCGTGCGTGCATGCGTGCGTGCGTTCGTGCGTGCAAGCGTGTCGTGTGTGTTCGTCCGTGTGAGCTCACATGTGTGTCGCGTACACAGAACTGGCACGATTTCTGACATTCGTGCGAAGCGTTACGGAGGCCATCGAAAAGGCCTCAGGCGTGCCCGTACCCGATTATGTGAAGTTGCGTTGGGAGAGCCGAAGCAAAGGTACCATCTACCAACCGCCTTCTTCACCCCTCAATCGGCCTCAGTCTCCTTTTTCCTTCCTATCTGCAGTCGTTTTCTTTATGTGTGCTGTGCGTGGATCACTTTCTTTGGCGGTCTGAGCCCATTAGCTGTGCACATCTGTCCTCTTTTTTTTTCTATGAAGAGAGCCTTTGGATCTAACCATCACCCGTCATGTATGCGCTCGTGCCCTTCCCTTCTTCCCAACAACACCCAAACAACAAATCGCCAACACAACAGAGATCGCGCTCCTGCACGCCATGAGCAGCGGCAGTGCTGTTGGCAGGCAATGAAGAGAAGAACAATGACATCACCCAGTCAAACCACACCAGTGCATCAACATATGCAACGCGCACTCCGTTTTGTTTTTTGCCTCGCTGGCTTTGCCTGCACTGATTTTCTCATTTTGTTGTAATTTAGTCGATGTCGCGTGGTGGCGCCCGGCTTCTACTGTAAGATCTCGATGCCTCCAATTCGTGCGTTCTGCGGTCTGTCAGGCCATGCCAACAGCAGAACGAGACCATCTTCTCGCCCGCCCGTTTGAACGCTGCGCTGATCGGCGCCAGGTCCCGAGCCCCCACTTTTTCCTACGCCGCACCGGACCCGACCCGGGCATCCGCCCTCCTCTGTGCGGACTCCCCGCCGGCCGGCCGTTGGTGCACGGATGTAAATGTTTAGGTAGGCCGCCAATTGCCTTGGGTTGAGACAGCGCCCCCTCTGGCCCAAGCCCTGATCATCGTTACCCTTTTGGTTGCGTCCCTCATTCTAACTTTTCTACAAGGCCACGCACAAAGCCACACCAACCCACAACGCGCAACAAAACAGACAACATCACAACTTTGAAGATGGCGTCAACATCGGCTCGTAGAAGATCAAGCTCCCCGTCGCCTTCATCATCAACACCACCTTGCGACCCGGAGTACCGCGAGGCGCGGTTGACCCTGTGGGCGCGCCAGGCCGACATGGCCCACGTCCTGCGCAAGCAGGCCCGGGGCCACGACTGCGAAGACCTGGCGATCGATCTCACCGCCCTGCTGCTCGACATGCAGCGCCGGCAGGACGCGGACGGGGCGCGAGGCGCACGAAAGCAGCAGCACGAGCCACCACGACGCGCCCTGACCGAGCCAGAGGGGCTGAGCGTCAAGAGCGACCCGCTGGCGGCCCGGGGCAAGCAAAACAGAGAAGCGGAAGAACGAAGGAAAAGAACGAAGACGACGAAGGCGGGGGAGGCGACGTCGGGCAACGGGCGGCTCGAGCAGACGAGAAAGGCCGACCAGAAGAAAGCTGCAGTCTTGACGAAGGCGAAGGCGACGTGGAGTTCGATCATCCGACTCCGACGACCACACCACCAACAGAAGGAAGGGGCAGATGCACCGTCATGTTGATGGAGCATTGGTTCATGTGGTGGCATTTTTTGATCCAATCACACTGTCACTGCACTCAAACCGCAGAATCGTTGATGTACTTTATGTTTCCCCACTCGACGTCTTGAACGCAAGCGTAAAGGGCAAGCTCAAAGGGCGTGTTCCCTCAGCCTGCACGACGAGTGAGGCCCTCAGATTCACAAAGACCCACCGCCGTGCATCTTAGCGGCGGGATCCCGAACGACGAGCAGGACCGTTAGTGCTGGGAAATTTCAAGCTTGCCTACAGCTCGCGAGTTCGAAGCTCACCGAAGCCATTTTGCTTTTGGTTGTTGGGCCTAGTAACCTGCCCACCCAATCGGATCATCCCGCTGTTGCCACATGTTGTCTATCAAGCCAACGACCAAAAGTAGTACTTTTACAGCACCAGCACAGACCATCTTCCCCTTCGCTTTCGTTCTTTGTTCGTTCGCAACTCCGACCTACAAAAGTACGAAGAACGAAAAGATGCAGCGCGGACGTGTTTTTCTCTTCGCTGCGGCCCTGCTGGTCCTCTTCTGTGCCTTCGAGGCGCGCGGGCTCACCCTGGCCCAGCTGCGCGCCCGACTGGCCACCGATGAAGTGCGCGGCCCGCGCGACGCCGGCTACAACGACCTCCGCACGGGCTACAACCAGCGCTACTCGCGGCTGCCGGCCGTCATCGTCTCGCCGCGCAACGTGACCGGAGTTCAGCTCGCCATCGAGTACGCCCGCACCAACAACCTCACCGTCTCGCTCCGCTCGGGCGCCCACTCGGCCGAGCTCCTGGGCGTGCTCGACGAGGCCGTTGTCATCGATTTCTCCATCAACATGAAGTCCATCTCCATCGATGTCGCTCAAAAGATCGCCACCGTCGAGCCCGGCATGCGCTGGGGCGACTTCTACACCGCCACGGTCCCGCTGGGCCTCGGCGCCCCGGGCGGCAGCTGCCCGGGCGTGGGCGTCGGCGGCTCGTCGCTGGGCGGCGGCGCCAACGACCTGGCTACCGTGCTCGGCTACTCGCTCGACAACGTTCTGGGCTTCCAGGTGGTCCTGGCCAACGGCAGCGTGGTCGAGGCCTCCGACGACTCGCATCCCGACCTGTTCTGGGCGCTGCGCGGGGCGGGCCACGGCGGTCTGGGCGTGGTGACGTCCATCACCCTCCAGCTTTCGCCCATCGAGCCCACCTTCTACTCGGCCTGGATCACCTACGCGTGGGCCGACTTCGAGGCGCTGCTCAACCAGGTCGCGCTCTACTCGCAGACCATGCCCGACCAGGTCAACCTCTACTTCACCGGCTGGAAATCGGCCGCCACGCTCAACGTGGCCCTCTCGTGCTTCTACAACGGGCCGCCCGACGTGGGCGCCACCGTGTGCGGCCGCTGGGCCAACGCTTCGGTCACGGGCGTCGCGCCCACGAGCTACTCGCCCACCGTCGAGCCCTACGACGCGACGGTGCGCAAGGGGACGGACCCCAAGGGCCGCCGCAGCTTCACCAAGGGCGGCCTGCTGACCGGGCTCACCCGCAAGGCCGTGCGCGCGATCCGCCGCTCGCTGGAGGACGGCCCCGAGTCCGACGCGACGACCAACACGGCGCGGCTCAACCTGTACTGGCAGGGTGGCAAGATGCTGGACCGCGCGCGCGACGCGGTGGCGTTCGTGCACCGCACGTACCCGTGGAACGCGGTGTGGCTGGCGTCGTACGTGCCCGACGCGATGACCGACGAGTACGCGCGGTGGATCACGATCACCAACAACCGCCGCATGGCGCCGTTCATGTCGGGCGAGACCTACAACAACTACCCCGACTTGGCCATGGCCGATTGGCGCTGGGCCTACTACGCCGAGAACTACCCGCGCCTGCGCGTCATCAAGGCCGCCTACGACCCCCACCAGCTCTTCAAGGGACCCCAGACCATCGAGCCCGCCATCTAATGAGCGAGTGTTCAAACTTTCACTTTGTGTGATTCCGGCCTAAAGAAGTGGACTAGTTTGATGGTGAATGTGAATCCAGAGACCAGGTAGAGCAAAGAACATGCACGCCAGCTATGGCCTTATCTTGGTCGAGTGGGCCTGTGGTGGGTGGCGTCTGTGAGGTAGGGCTTTGGCTGCACTGAAGGACTCCAATCGTGCAGGAAGAGTGATAAGCAGCTGAGATGAGCGGGGGGTGGACTCCGGGTGGTCGCCCACCCCAGTACCAACACCGCCTGGCTTACTTTGCTGTTCAGGTGGGAAGCGGTGCTTTCCTACCCTAGCACCAGTATGCTCTTCACCGCAAGTCCTTCAGTGCCCTGTATCTTGCAAGCCAGAAGCGGAGTGATACGCGAAGCCGTCCTAGCTCAGTCGGTAGAGCGCAAGACTCTTAATCTTGTGGTCGTGGGTTCGAGCCCCACGGTCGGCTATATCCTTTTTGTGTCCTTGCCAGCAAAACAACAAAAACCATAGAAGGAACCAGAGAAGCATGTCTCTATTACCCAAGCGTATGCGCAAAAAGGATTGCTAGAACATATCCTCGATGATGTCGTCCAACTGCTGCTTTGTCACCAAGCCTGCTCTGATCAGACTCCTCAGATGAACCTTCATCATCGATCTATCATCGTTGATTCTCTCCATGCATGGGCATCTATTTTTATAGCACTTGGTCTCGCTGATTTCTCTGATCGCCTGTCCCACCTCTATGTACTGCTGCTCGTTGTATTTCTTCTCCGTGTGGCAAGGTTCAAACGACAGCTTGGGAGGCCCCTCGGCCCTGTGCGTCGCCGAGTAGATCCTGTACACGCCGCTGTTGAAGAGCGTCTCTTTGAAGAGCAAGTAGTGCTTGCGGCCATCGCTGCGCTTAAAGTATATCGACAGCTCCACCCCGGAAGCAAATTCGCTGTCCTTTTCTGTCTCTGGCCACAGGCTTGTCTCATCCTCTCTGTCATCGATGCAAAAGTAGGCGCTTGAGCGTTTGAGCTCGTTCTTGATCTTCAAGTTGATTGTGTTTTGCAGATTGGTCATAGACATGTTTTTTTTTGTTGGCGGTATGTCCAACTAGGCATGGTTCGTCAGGTGGCAGTTGGATTTTTTCTTTTATTTATTTATAATTAAATAAAAGTTGTTTTTTTTGTAGCGAAGCGGGGGCGTCTCGATCCGAGGGGCAATGCACTTCTTGTGGATCTTGTCATTGAACTACACGTGGTAGACCGTGCAGAACGCACCAGTACGCAGTGGCATTGCGTAAGCCAACACAGGTGCCTTGTAATAGAGACAGCGTCAGTACAGACCTAAAGAAGGCAAAACGTGGTACAGGTACCTGTGTAGCAGGCCCATAGCCATGTTCGCATTACTTCATTCTGGCTTCACACCCGAGCTGAAGGTGGTGAGCCCGCCGATAAACCAAGGAACGTAGCTGGAAAGTAGATGGGCGCAAGTGAGAATTATGAGCAGGTCACCTGCTTTTCACTGCGGCGTGCCCGGGCCTACAAAAGGGAGTGCCTGAGCACCCAGCAAGTCACTCTCTCATTCACTCTTCTCCACCCCAGCCAGACACGACACAACAGAACAGAAGAGCAACACATAGACAAGAAGAGCACCTCACACAAGCTACGAGCAACAAGCGCAAACACCACAACAGCACACGCCCAGACAAAACAAGTAAACCAACGACGCCACTCACTACTCGCCGACCAACCCTCTATCGGCTGCAGCCACCACTACTTCTGCACTACACGCAAGGATGTCGATGGCTTCGCCGACACTTGCTGGCGCGCCACAGTGGCAGCGAGACGTGTGGCGTCGGCAGCAGGACGAAATGGTGGCCGTCCCCTCCTACCTCGACGTCGACAAGGTAGAGGCCGACTCCTTCCTCGCCTACGTGGCCCGTCTGCGCTCTGCTTCATCGACCACCACCACCACAGCCACTTCAGCTTCATCTTCATCGCCAGCTTCGTCACCACAGGCATCGCCGTCGACGAAAAAGAAGCAGGAGAAGCAGAAGAAGCAGAAGAGGAGCGGCAGCGGGATGGGAGGGTCCACGGCAGCGGCGGGGGGCGAGAAGGCGACCAACAAGAGGTGGAAGCGAAGGAAGCAGTCCTTGGGCGAGGTGGCGGTCAGCGAAGAGGCACCTGCCACTACGTCGTCGCCCAGGAGGGAGGGGATCGCCGAGACGGTACTCGCAGACCGCGTTCAAATCCAGGTGCGAGCTCTGGCGCGCTACAACCTGCTGGCCCGCGCCACCACCCACGTGGCTGAACGAGAGGCCTAAAGAAGCCCCTCTTGCTTTGTCACCTGTGCATATCATGTCGTGTTCTTTCTTGTACTTCTTCTATGTATCATAGATGTATATAAAAATTCAAATTATGTGTACTACGGCCTTCATGACCAAATCACAACACTGTGAGATTGTTGCGTGTCACAACAACATCCAAACTGGCTGTGGTTGCACGACCTTCGTTGCAGCTATAACGTGTATTAAGGTAGCGCTCACAACCAAGCTTGTAGGCGGCACTGTCGTGGGATTCTCGGCTGAAAGAGGGTTGAGTGTGGAACCACACTACAAGAGGCCCTTTGTTTTTAGGTCACTTTGCGCTGTTAGGTTCGGTTTCGCCACTACCGAAGTGAGCCTCGCAGCAGCGTTCCTATTGGCCTGTCACACCTACATAAGCCCACTCCTCACAACACACAACACACGCTTTCCAACAGAACATCACCACAGACACACCCACACACGCTCGAGCATGGCTTGGAGACAGCGCTTGCAGGAAGTGCAGAGGCAGCACCTTGCTGCCATACTCGAGGAGAACAACACAAGCTCGCCCAGCATTGGTGGCCACTCCACCTTGTTGGCTCTGGCGCCCGCCAACTCGGCTGGCGTGACGACGAAGCAGAAGCAGAAGCAGAAGCAGAAAACAGAAGACGGGGTGCGACATCTCAAGAGCAAGAACAAGACGGAGAGCAAGAAGCGACTGCGGCTACGAGAAGAAGATGAGCGCCGGGCGGCCCGCCTGGCGTTCGTCGACACCGAGCTGAACCAGGTGAACGCCATGGCCTGGTACCACCGACTCGACGTCCTCAGCCGACCGCAGCGCAACCCCTAGGGGTCAGCCCAGCTTCCTCTATCATCTCTGTACATAGTCGGCGTTACAAAGAACATGAGCCTTTTTCACACACTTTTTCCCAGCTTTGTTTGTCTTGCAACAAGGAGGGGTGGTGCAACAACAACAACAACGCAGTGGAAACAAGATTTATGTATTAACAAAGGTTGAGATGTGTACCGTCGTTGCTACCGCCTCCGTGCAATGACTCTCCGCTCGATTGAACCGGGCATTGGGGAGGCCTGCTGACGTGGGGGGGGGACGGACGCACGTTTGCCTCGGCGAGCTGGCTCTGGAGTTGGGCGTGAACCCCGCGCAGTTTGACCTGCTGCTTCCTTTCCGCTGGTCGCTCAGACGCCTCCTTCTTCTCCAACGCAGGTGCCGCCTCCTCCAACTGCCGCGGCCCCTCCACCAAGTCACCCACCCTCTTCGCGTGTGGGGAGCGTCAACTCTTTGCGATTCGTCCATCTTGGGCAATCACGCGGTACACTACAGCCAGAACACGAATCACCGGCATCAGCCCATGCGGATGCGCCGGGCTTCGCCGGGCCTGCCATTCTCGCCGACGACGAACAGCAGGTAGTCGCCAGGCGGGGCGAGTCCGGGCAGCGGGGGAGCCTTGACCTTGAGTTGCCTTCCGGAGGCGTCGAACGGCAGGCGCACGTAGCGATTGTCCCACGCCCAATTGTGAGTGATCGGACCAGTGCGGATCAGCACGACCGAGGCGATGTCGGACGCCTTGGCCGCCAAGCCGATCTTATACGATTCGCCGTAGCGCATGTGGTCGTCGGCCTCGGTGATGACCGGCGCGGGACCCTTGAAGAAGTAGGCCGGCTTGTAGTACTCCAGCACCGGGACCGACCGGTTCACCTCCTGCTGCGGGAGCAGGTCGACCCTGTTGCCGCCCATGATCCACACGCCGCCGTTGGGCATGACCAGCGCCGTCGAGTGGTCGTGTCGCGGGGCGACGTGCGACAGCAGTGTGGTACGGCGGCCCGTGTCGGGGTCGTAGTGCTGGATGTAGTTGCTGTCCTGACCACCCACCACCAGGATGCTGCCGTCGGGAAGCACGACGGCGTTGTTCTGCGTGGTGGCGACCTGCAGGTCGTCCATGCGCTCCCAGCGGGGCCTCGCCAGCGAGAAGTCGATTCGCTCGGCCGCGGCCGAGTTGGTGCCGTTGCCGGTGTCGCCGCCGAAGAGGAAGGCCCGCTGGGACCACTTCGTCCTGCTGCGGATATCGACCATGAAGACCGCAGCGCCGGAGTCGTGCGCCGACTGCGCCCGGTCGACCTCGGTCCAGTAGCCCCCCTCTGCCGGCGAGTCGCGGTCGGGGTCGGCCAGCGCGGCCTGAACGTCCAGGCAGGCCGTGCTGCCGTCGTACCGCCACGGGTCGAATTGGCTGATGTTCTCGGGCGAGGGCAACGGAGGGACCACCTTGGCGACGGAGCACACAACCCAGTCGGTCCACTCCCTGCCGGTCTGGACCACGAACGAGCGCGGGTACATGGGCTGGAGCCGCCGGGCGTTCTCGAGCTGGACGTTGCGGTCGGTGACCGGGTCGTAGACCTCGGGCGTGGCGATGCGCACCTTGGTCGCGCTGGCGTTGTCCGGGTCGCGGGTGTCTTGATCGGTGCCGGAGAGTATGAGGATGCTGCCGTCGGGCATGAGCACGGAGGTCGGGTACCATCGCTGGTACTTCATGTCGGACGAGGACAGCGGGTCGGTGTTGTGGTCGACCAGCGGGCTGCAGTGCGGGAAGAGGGTGCCCGTGGGGTCCATCTCCCACTGGGCGCGGACGCAGGGGACCGGACGGTCGAGCCACATTTCAGTCTCGGGGTCGAAGATGATGATCTTCCTGATGCCGTTGTTGCCACCTGGATCATCAACAACACGTCAGAATGAACCAAGAGCGAAGAGCGAATGGTGGATGGTGGTAGTACCCTTATCGTGACCGCCCACAGCAATGATGCGACCCTTGGCGTCGGCCGAGTTGCCGGCACAGAAGATGTTTTGGGCCAATCCTTGCGAGTAGCCGGCGTCACGGAAGTAAGGGTCGGTGGCGCTCATGTCGTCGTCGTTCAGCAAACGAATGTCGCGAACGTCGTCGAAGCGGCCGGTGTCGATCAGCGTCTGCAGACCGCACACGTCCACCAGCTGCGTGTTCTCGCGCAGGTTGTCCGGACCATACGGCGACCAGCCGCTCTCGTCCAGCCTGCCGAGATTGAAGCCGCCCATCACGAGAGTCTCGAAGGCGGGGTTGAAGCCGGGGAAGCCCTCGCCGAACATGCTGGGCGAGATGTAGTCTTGAGGCCGGTACTCGGAGGGCCGCATCCACATGAGCAGCTTGGGGCACATCGACTCCCTTCTCCACACCAGCGATGTGGCGATGGCGTCCTTGTGAAACGGGATGACGCCGCTCAGCCATCCGACCACTTCAGGGCGCGGCGGCTGGCACCTGGCCTGCCCCAGGAACGCGACCAGGAACACCACGACGGCTACGGAACAGAGCGCCAGGTGCTTGTTCATCACGAACTGTCTGCTGCGTGTCTTCTATAGCTGTTGTTATGAGGAGGAGAAGATGAGAATGATGAGGTAGAGAAGCTTTTTATATAGGTGGGTGAACTGGGTACGTACGTGGCCAGTTACAGAACATGCCTGCGGTGCAGTACTGAATATGAGAACTGGATCGCTGCTGCGGTCACACACAACGATTTTCTTTGTATTCCATCACAGGAGAAGGAAAGGGGGACGGTAGAAGGTGGTGCTTGCATGCTGCAGGTTTACAGCTTCGCTGTACCACTCAATTTGTGGGTTGAAATCTCATGGAGAAGTTGTGTGACCAACGGCTGTGGGCACAAGTGGAATCCACTTCATCATGTCCCTGCACAACTGCACTGATGCCAATGGTCTTCATTCACCTCATTGGATTCCTTGAGACCAAGCACAACAGTGGAAGTACTAAAAAAGTAAAGGAGGCCCTTCAGGAGGCTGTCAGCACTTGGGTTGGGGTCTGGAGGGAATGAGGACTAAGTAAGGGAAATGGTTGGGAAGATGAGAGAGAGAGAGATAGTGTGAGTGAGACTAAGGCCATATGCTTTGCACCTTGGAGTGGTCAGAGAGTCTAGTCTCCCTTCAAAGTCCTCCCAAGGTGGAAACAAGAAGGTGCCCCTAAGTGTCCCTGAAGGTGATTTTGACCACTAGACTGCCACTGATAAGTGATATTGAGGGACTTGAGATGAAAAAGATTTGATAAAAACTTGGAATGTGTGGAGTTTACAAGTGATTTTATCAGTTTGATGGCATTTGTTGTGTCCCCCTGTTGTGTTGTTCATGTAACAACTTCAAAATGCACCTTGCCTTTGCTTCATACCCTCCATCAATTCCATAATCAGTGGCCACATGCTACTCTCACATCCAGATGAATTGGAGCACTATTCCTGAAGATAAAATTCCACCACAACAAAGCACTGATAGCAAAGTTCAGATTTTCTGGATCATGTACATGTGCACAATAAACTCAATATAAACACTGCATGTTGGTACACATTGAGAGGGGTGTGGTGACAGTGACAAGACTGGTGAATAAGAAGGGTTATCTTTCCTTTTATGGACTGGAACGCTAGGCATGCATTCTCTTCCACCAGTTCGATTGGTCGCCGAGTGAGAGAGTAGTATTGGATGAGCCCCAATCAAACGCGGTGCATGCCAACCGCCTATCGGGATCCACGGTTTGTCATGGCATGTTCAAGTCCCGATTGATGCATTTACATTTCCGGCGCATGAGGCTTGTTATCCCCTACACCGGCTCTGGGATCAGGCCGTGCGCTCTGGCCGAGCTTGCGCGGTGGGTGTCGGCCGCAGGCGGTTGAACCACCGCACCGCCACCACCTGATTGTTGGTCTGGTCGCCCGTGGCGATGTGTGTCGGAGCGGCCGTGGGTTGAATCCCGGCCGAGCCGCGGGTGGGGACTGTCGAGTAGGCGGCCGAGCCCCTGCGCCTGGAGAAGTAGGGCTCGCCCACTGTCACCAGCTCAAAGTCGGCCAGGTGCGCCTTCTGTCGCCGCCACACTTCGTTTTGCATACCGTGGTGGTGATGGCGTACACTGCGGGTGTTGTTGTGGCGTCTAGGTGGTGGCGTCTAGGTGTTGAGAAGCGGGGCCTTGTTGGGTGTGTTGTCGAGAGAGGGCTGCTGTTGTTGGTGGCGTCTTGTTGGGCTGGGGCACGTTTGAAGGCTGTTTGTTGGTTTGGAGCTTTGGGCCTGCTGCTGGGTGTCGAGCTTTTTAGCGGAATGAAGACCAACTAGGTGAGCCGCAAGGCCAGAAGGAAAGCTTGACCCAATAGTAAAAAGGCCTCATAACAATGTTGATCATGAGCCAGAATAGATCTTAAAAATAAATAGCAGCGCGGCTTGTAATGTTTTGGTAAAGAGAAGGCGGGCGCCTCTTCTGTTTATCTTTCCCCCCCTCTGTTTTCAGCGCTGGTCGGTACGCGCGTAGTAGAGGGCGCCGTGGAGGTTGATGTTGAAGCTCTCCGTCTGGGTGTAGAGCTCCACCATGTCGATCCAGTCGGGCTTGGGGTGATCCAAAAACTCGGCCCTCATCTCCGGCAGGTGCTTCTCGAAGAAGGGGTTGTTTACCACCTGCGCGCACCAACACGGTGAGCCACCAAACCAGAGCTGCCATGATCCATGCACGTTGTGCGTGCGTCCGTGCAGCATAAAAAACGTACCTGGTTGTCACCGGCAAGGAACATGCCCTTGGCCTGCAGCCCCACGCAGAGGTTCTTGGCCACACGCATCAGGAACCTGCGCGTTCGCGGATGAGGAAAAAGGTCCGTCAAGTGTGCGTGCGTGCGTGCGTGTGCGTCTGTACCTGTAGTGGATGAGCAGCGCCTTGGTGGCGAAGGGGCACGGGTCCTCGCGGAAGGCGGCCGTGCTGACCTCCTCGGCCGACTCATACTTGGCAGCCTCTGTACACCGCGACGGCGACGATGACAACGGCAACAATGACGAGTTAGTTGGGGGGGGGGCGAATTGAAAACGTTGATTGCCGTGGTTTGTACCCTTGTGCTCGGCGGTGATCCACTGGTAGACGGCCAGGACGCCGCGGCCCGATACGATGTCCTCGTACTCGATGGCGTGCTTGCCGCTGTAGAGAGTCTTCGAGAGGTAGGCCGCGAGCCGGTCCTCCTCGTCCTTCTTGGAGGGGTCGGTGGCCGGCGAGTAGAGGGCGTGGCCGAACTCCATGGGCATCACCTGCAGCGGGATGTTGCGCGAGCCGCGGCCGAGCGAGGTCAGGAGGGCGATGCCCAGACCAGTGCCCACGGCCAACACCAAATCTGTGTGTGTCGTGTGTGGCATGTCGTGTGTGTGTGGCCGTCAGTAAGTTTGTCTTCGCAAAGACGAAACACATGCGTGCGTACAGTTGGCGCGCTTCATGGTGACGGTGTCCGAGGTGGACCAGAGGGGCTTGAAGAAGGAGGAGAGCTGCTGGCTCTCGTTAAGGGACTTGAGGCCGTAGCACGTGCTTTCGAGGTCATTGATGAAGTGTGTCGCATCTGATGGTAAAGTTGAGAAATGTTGAGAATAACACATGTAGACGGAAAACACGACGCACGACGCACGACGCACGACACACGACGCACGACACACACCTTGTGAGCACAAACACGACTCAGGCAGGTCAACGCACCAGCGGGGAACAGGTAGGTCGGGAGCTGATCCGAGGTCAGCGTGCGGTCGGCAGGGGTACCGGGGTAGTTGGTGATATCAAGCTGCAGGAGCGCGGTGTGTGCGGTGCGTGACGTCAGCTCAAGGCTCAGGGAAAAGGCGGGAAAACTGAGAAGAAAAGAGTGAGGCGCGCGATTACCGAGAGGCCATCGTCGCTGATGCGGCCGGCGCCGGCAAGACAGGCGCCCGAGGCAGGGACGCCGAGGATGTCGGCCACCTGACGGGCGACCTGCTGGAGTCCCTCAACGATGTGCTTGCTGCTCGACGCCCTGAACTTGGCGATCTGCGCACGACACATGTAAGTAGAAGCACGCACGACACGACACACGACACAACACACAACACACGCCACATGCCACACACAACACGCGGGACAGCCAGCCACCCGCATCGGCTATGAGAGGGTTGCAAGGGAGTGAGTTTTTTACCTGGACGTAGGACTCGTCGGAGGAGCCGGTGTCGAGCGCCACGCGCGTGTTGGTGCCACCAATATCGACACCCACGAAGTACTTCAGGCTCTGTAGCGACACCAGATTGAGTGGAAGAATGAGAAGCATTCAAATTGGCAAGGCAGATTTGGATTTAGAGACACAAATCGGTGGTAGGACAGATTTTTGTGATTTAATCGTGATGGGAGGTTGGATTAGAAAAGGTGCAATCAAAGCTTGCACGTGCTGCCTCCACATGGAAGGAGGGGTTGGAGCAGGGCAGCAGTACCTCCTTGAATCGATCCTTCCACTGAAGGAGGGCCGGCCGAGCCTCCTCGACAATGTCAACGAGCGTGGAGATGGGAAGTGGCGGAGCGCTGGTCATGTTGTATTCAATGCGAGTTGTTGGTTGTGAGAATGTGAAGGTGCGTTGCGTGGTGTCCTGGATTGGTGAGAAAACACAGTAATAAAGAGCGTTGTTAATTTTTTTGGGTTTGTTCACTTGCTCCCTTCTTCCTTCCTGTTTTCTTTGACATTGCCTCGGCTCGTGTGCCATCAAGCCCCCATCTCTGCCTCGGTACTTGCACCATGTTAGCCCAGATGTCTCGGCCTTGAGCCGACACTGTTGTCTGGTTCGTCAGCAGAAGCCTTACCTCTCTGACAAGCGGCACAGGCAAGCAGGGCGTAACTTGGCCACAAGTTCACCAGCGACACGGTTACAACACAACGCATCATGCGCAGAGCGAGCCAGTGTGGTTGGTGGTGGAGGAGCTGGACAGAAGCAGGTGGCTGCGCACACCGTGTGCGCCGCACACACGGCACGAGCGTACCAATTTCTTTTTCATTTCCTTCGCGCCAGGGAAATTCAGGGCCAAGCTGGGCTGTTGGGCGCTGCCGGCGATACTGCAGCGCGGCAAGATTCGAAGAAGCAGAAGAGATGGAGACCGACAAGGGAGTGCTGGTGTACGGAGGTGCGGGGCAGCTCGGCGGCACGGTTGTGTCTCACTTCAAGCAGGCCGGCTACACGACCTACTCGGTCGATTTCCGACCCAATGAGGATGCCCATCATAATTTCGTGCTCTCTCCCGATGTGCGCACCAAGGAGAACACTGCCAAGGTCGTCAAGGGCCTCAAGGACCAGAATGCCAGTAAGCCATCCCTCTTTCATCAATACTATTAATTATCAAAAGACGTCATGTCCTCCTTTTATTACTTTTTACGTTCATCTCATTCATTCATTCATTCATTAAGACACTAATTTGATCTCCACTACTACGTTACAGCTCTTGATGCGGTGATCTGCGTGGCCGGCGGCTGGCTGGGCGGCAACGTGAAGGAAGAGTCCATTTTTGACGGTGTGGACAAGATGTTCGAGTTCAACGTGCAGTCGTCCATCGCGTCGGCGCACATCGCCGCCAACTCGCTCAAGGAGGGCGGCGTGGTCGTCCTCACCGGCGCCGATGCTGCTCTGGGTCCCACTCCCTCCATGATCGCCTACGGTATCACCAAGGTAGTATTCGCAACCGCTTACATCACCACCTCGCTCAACCAACTACAACTAACCGCGCTATTTGTGATGTGATCATCATCATCACCACCATCATCATCAGGCCGCCACGCACCACCTGATCGCCAGCTTGGTGCCCGCCGGCAGCGGACTGCCCAAGGACTCGTCGGTGCTGGGCATTCTCCCGATCTGCCTCGACACGCCCACCAACAGGAAGTCGATGCCGGGCGCCAACTTTGATGATTGGACGCCGCTGCCCGTCGTCGCCGGCCTGCTGCTGGGCTGGGCCGAGGGCAAGGACAGGCCCAAGTCGGGCACGCTCATCTCGATCGCCACCAAGAACAAGGAGACCCGCTTCACCGTCGTCCAGCCCAACGCCTAAGTCTTGTCTTTGGCTTTGATAAAGATGACCGATTTTTATCTCTTTTTCAGACATTCGTGGTCTGCTGCCAATTGCTCGTTTTTTCTGAAGGAAAGGAAGCCAAGCTGTCTTGATGATGGCTTGGTGCTCAAACAAGCTTCATTATTCTGTACTTGATTTATCTATTTATTTATCTGTTTCTGGTGAGGTTGCGCAATAAATAAAAGTGATTTAATTTCAACGTTGGGGACGAGAACACTCAAATATTGGAAGAGATAGAGAGCACACAAGAGTCTCTGGGCGCCGTCTACGCCTTCCCTGCCCGTTGCGGGAAGTAGCTAATAATGTTCTTGGATCACTTGAACACGTTGGGGCTGCTTCAGCATGACCCATGTACGCAATCACCCCCCCCCGCACACAAACTTTAATTCTTTCTTAGGCGCTACCGCGGCTTGGTAGGCGTTGGCCTCCTCCCCCTCTTGGTGCCTTTGCGCCTTGTCGTAAACAATGGACAGATTAATTAATTTGTCAATTATTTTACCGAAATCGTATTGGCAGCGACCGATATTTTGAAGCAGTTCCCTCTATCGGTTCGGCAGACCCTCGCGTCGCAAGTGGTCAACGTTCTGCTCGACTCGAATGCCGGCGCCAGGGTACATTCCCAATCCCCATTTATTTATTACCTCGATGTCCGATTTATTTATTTATTATTCTTTTTATTAAAGCACCGCGTTGAACATGTTCGCTGCACACTGCGGAAAAATTGGCCACCATATCATTTTGACTATGTTAAACTGATATGTTTGAAACAAAACATTCAACACTTGCCAGGCACTCACGAGCGTCGCGCATGTGCGGTGGGCCATGGAGAGCGTGGGCGCCTCGTTCACCCTCCCCATGGAAAGCGAAGAGGTACTGTGTGTGCCGCACAACGTTTCCCCCCATCTTCAAAACAGCCGCACACGCTGATGCCACTACGCGGTGTCACTACGCGGCGCAGATTATGAGCACGGCCATCGAGCTCTACCGACGATGGCTGCTCGACTCCTCGAAGAGGCCATCTCCCATCAACTCCGAGCCGCAGTTCTTCATTCGTGTAAGTGCTCTCTTTTTTAACGTTCACGCGTCTACTCTGTCATGTGTCGTGTTGCGTGCGCGTGCATGCGAGTCGTGTGTGTCGTGTGTGTCGTGTGTGTCGTGTGTGTCGTGTGTCGTCCAACGCTCATCTGTGTATCTGTCTGGCCCACACAGCAAATCCTGTGCCACTACTCGCTGTTGTTCGAGCCCCGGACCGCGCTTCCCGACTCTCTCGATACCCAGGCCGCCCTGTGCAAGCGCGCACTCAACATCTACCACGCGCTTGGACGCGAGAGGTTCCTTTCTCTTTACACACACACACCACACCAGTGATGCCGCCGCTGCAACGAGTGTGACGTGATTGGTGTGTTGTTCGGCGGCGCCGTGCGCAGTTCTGCGTTGGACGAGGAGACCTGGGAGATCTTCCTTAAGCTCCTGCTGGGCATCGCCGACTCGCTGCTCTCTCTGCCCGAGAGCGAGGAGGGCCTCACCAAGCGCCTCTGCTCCCACGTGCTCAAGGTGCGTCGTGCGTGTGTCATGTGTCGTGTGTGTCGTGTGTGCCACGCGTGTCGTACCGCACATATGCGCTGACGTAGGTTGTCTGACGTCCCAGGTGCTGTTCGAGTTGTGGCTCTACTCGTCAACGAGCGAGGCGGACATGTGGGGCTCGCTGCTGCACCTGGTGCCGCGGTGGGTGCACCACCTGCCCACCATCAACCAGTGGCTGGCCGTCTGCAAGGGCCTGACCGAGCGGGCCATCTCCTTCATGTACGGCCCCGAGGAAGGCCGCGAATGCGTCCTCATCCAACTGTACGCCCACCACCCTATTTATTATTTTAATATATTATTTATTATTTATTATTTTATGGATTTTTTGCCTTGATTATTTTATTAATTAGTTCTATATTCGTTATTTTGCGACGCAGGGAGGGATCGAAGGAGATCGTGACGATGGACGGTCTGCAGGAGGAGCACGTCTTCTACGCCTGGCACCGCATGCTGCGTACGTAGTCCACCGCCACATCGTCGGTGAGGGGGAGTTGGGCGTGGGTGGTGGGCCGCGGTCTGACGTACGACCGGATGGTTTGGTTCAACTTCTCCAGATGCGATCGGAGACCCCAACAGCATCGCTAACCCGCGCATCCACCACGCCGCCTTCAAGGGCATCGACACGCTCGTCGACCTCTTCCTCCAGGTGCGTAAGCTATTTATTGTGTGTCGTGTGTGTCGTGTGTGTGTGTGTTGTGTCTGTGTGTGTGTGTGTGTGTGTGTGTTTTGTCTTAAACATCAACCCGCTCGCAGGTGGGACGAAAGTCGGGAAAGGCCGAGCGGCAGGAACTGAAGCCGCCCGAGGGCAATACCATTCTTCACATTTTCGGCAATTGGCTGTTCGACGCGGCCATGCAGCGGCGGGACGGCTTCGAGGAGGGAAGAGCCGTGGCGGTGAAGACGCTGTGCAACATCTTCAGCACCTGCAAGTCGTCCCCCTTCAACACCGTCTACCTGTCCCGGTTCTACGCGTGCCTCTCACAGGTTTCCCTTCTTCTTGCATCGCGTGTGTCGTGTGTGTCGTGTGTTGTGTGTGTCGTGTGTGTGTGTGTCGTGTGTGTCGTGTATCGTGTGATTTCTCACCAGGCTGGGTTTTTGTTGGGGCGGTGGGCTACAGGTGCTGGGCGAGAGCACGGAGGTGATGATTGCGGGATTGACCAATGCGGGCATCCTCTTCCCGTGTGAGCTCCCCGGCTTCCGCATCCTCACCCCCGCCTTCGTCTACGCCCTCAACCGCGTGCTCCTGCGGGTGCGTTGTGCCTTCACCCCCCCCCTCTCCCTTGTGTGGTTTGTCTGACCTGTGAGGCGTCTCGCCACCCCTTCATGCAGCGACTCCACTTTGAGCATGCCGGAGCGCAGGAAAATGTGAGGCGCGAGTGTCTGCGCATATTGGGTACCCAACGCACCCAACACGCCGCACGCGCCGCACACGCAACACATTACACTAAATTTGGCTCGCTGCGCAGGGTACTTGATTTCGACGCCCAACCATTTCAGCGACACCCCGTTCAGCCGGGCCACGCCCAAGCCGCCCGTCATCAACACACCCGCCTCGCCCAAGGTCTGTTCTTCGCTTCGCTTTCGGCCGCGCTGCACATGCAGGAAAGCACTGACATGTCAGCGTTGGCTTCCTATCAGGACACCTTGAGCGCCAAGCTGCCGGAGATCAAGACCTTCCGGCAGGTGGACGACCACCTGGTGGTGCTGTTGGGCGAGTCGCTGGTCTACGAGACCGCCGGCGGCAACGTGCGGCCGCTGCTCTCGCTCTGCTACGCCTTCGCCCGCGAGACCCACCTCAAGCGACCCGACTTCACCCTCCACGTCATCCACACCATCGGTATGTTTGTTATCTCTATTTTCTTTCCTTTTTCCTTTAAATTGATTGGTGTGTTGTGGGTGGTTGCAGTGCAAAAAATCACGCACGCCCAGTGGCTGACGGGGCACTGCGTGGACGCCTATCGCGTGCTCGGCTTCTTCTCGGCCTTTTATACCTTCCTGCCCGATCCTGACGAGGTTCCACGCCTCTCTCTCTGCCACACACACACACCATTGCACATGCGAGTGCTCATTCTGGTTGGCCTTCTGCAGACGGCCAATTTTGTGGTGAGCTCGCTTGCGAACATGTTTGCCAGCGAGGCCATCGGCGACCTCCTCACGCGGCTCGCCCCGTCTGAATTCGAGGTACCCCTCTCTCTCTACATACCGTGTGCGCGCGCACACTTTCTCCGGCAGGAGCTCACGCGACGGTGGCGTGCGTGCCAATGGTGTGTGTGTGTGCCGATGATCCAGATCCACATGATGGAAGCGCTCGAATGCATCACGTGTTGGTTGATGGTGGGCCCGCCTTGGATCTACCAGTACCACAAGACCAAGGCCGCTGTCATCAACGCCATCATGAGCGTCCTCCACAGCTCCTCCAAACCCGTACCGCTCCACTTGTTTTTATTCTTGTTCTTGTTCTTGTTCTTGTTCTTGTTCTTATTCATATTCTTATTTATTCTATAATTGATAAAATTGTTATTGATAATCTTTTTATTGATTTATTTATTTTAGGGAGTGCAGGGGGAGAGGGAGCTTAAGACGTCGCTGGGGACGTCGGAGTCGGACCAGAGCCGGAAGGACCGGAAGACGAAGAAGCTCATCAGCCGAAAGGGTCAGCGCGGACCACAGCAGGCCAAGGCGCCCAACGTCGCGCCCCTCCACCCGGCCCCCAAGCTTCGCGAACCCTCCCCTCGGCTGCGGGCACGTCGCCCTCCTCCCACGCCTCGTCCGCCTTCCCCTGTCGCACTCGTCTCACTTCGTGCCGTGCGTGCCGTGCGGTTCGCGTGTGTCGTGTGCCGCGTGCGTTGTTGTGTCGCGTAGGAGGTGGCGGCGCACGCGCTGGCGACAATGATCAATCACATGGGCAACTACCCCAACCCGTCGGGCACCACCTGCCTGTCCACCCTTCTCAGCGAAGAGGTATTACTTCTTATTTATTTATTTATTTCTCTAATTATTATTATTATATTATTATTATCAATTATCAAGTAGAGTTATTATATTTTCATGAATTATGAATTATTAGGGCTAATGTTACGCGTGGGTGCAGGACGTCCTCAAGTTGCTGCCGGAGGAGGTGGCGGCCAAGATCGATCCCGCCCAGTTCGTGCGCTACTTCATCTCGGGCAGCACCATCTACACGGTCATCGACAGGCCCAACAGCGGAGGTACGTTGTGCCTCCAGCCCAACCAACCAACCTGTTGGACCACGGGCGCACGCACACCACTCACCACTCACTTGACTTCGCGCTGCACAGACGGCTATGTGACGCTGATCGTACGCGATCGCACGGGCAAGTACGCGTGGGACCTCCAATCCGTCTCCCTCTCGCAGGTAAGTCCTCGATATCTTCCAAGTGCGCGCACGACACACGACACGCGGCGCACGACACGTGAATCGTGACAGTTTGGCGTTGTTCTTGCGCGCGTGTACAGGAGGACGAGAAGCTGCTGGAGGGCGTTGTGCTGGCCCACCCCAAGGAGATCTCACTCGAGCCCTACACCATTCCCGTGCCCCCGTACGTTCTTTCAACAGCACCGCAAAGCTTCCCGTTTTTGTTCTCACCTGTGTCGTTTGTCGTGTGTCGTGTGTGTACCATGCGTGTCGTGCGTGTCGTGCGTGTCGTGTGTGCGGCGTGTATGTGTCGTATGTTGTGTCGTGTCGTGTGTCGATAATGCGATGAGCAGGAAGGGAGAGGCGGATCTGCCCAACATGGCCAAGTTCGTTGACAACAAGCGGAGCCTCTTTGTGAGCGCTCAGGCCAAGCAAACCGAGAAGGAAAAGTACGCTTCAAATGTTTTCTGTTCTTTTTTATTGTTAGTGTTCATTCTCAACATTCCTATTCATCATTTCTATTCATCGTTTATTTATGATTTACCATTTATTTCATCGAATGAATTCAGGAAATATCTGCGTAAGCACGATTGGGGCCTGAATGCGGACATCCGGTGCTTCCCTGTGTGGGCCAGCCCGAGCCCGTACGCTGAGTCCGAGAGCAAGTTCATCCATGGCCGCATGCTCCTCTCCCAGCTGGGCTTCCTGTCGCCCCAGCAGCGCTCCAACTTCCACCAGATCGACCAATCCCCGGCCTTCTTCCGCTCCCTCAAGAACCTCGACCGCACACCCGAGTGCGCACCACCACCGCACACGCGCACACACTCGCCACCACCGCACACACACTCTTTTTCAGGTAGTTGACGCGTGTGTCGTTGGTCGCGTGTCGTGTGTGTCGTGTGTGGTCGTGCAGGCGCGAGTGCATCAGCGTGGGTGTGCTGTACCTGGGCAAGGGGCAGACCAAGAAGAAGGTGTGGGCCAACTCGGCCGAGCACGTCTCGCGTTCGCCCGCCTACCAGCGATTCCTCGACGCCTCCGGGTGGACTGTACGTCTCGTCGCCACCCAAATTCCTCACATTCCCACATTCCTTGCCTGCGCATTCCTCACTCCCCAACCTGTCGCCAGGTGGACGTGGCGACGCATCCAGGCTGGGTGGGCCAGCTGGACCGGACGGGCAAGACCGGCGCACGCACCCTGTACTACGCCGACTACAACAAGGAGGTGCGTGATTGATTGTTCCACCCCGCTAGCTCTCCTTGTGACATGACCACGTTGATTCATCATTTGTGCCATGTCATGTTGTGTCGTGTGTGTGGTCGTATGTGTTATGTGAACAGATGGTGTACCTGGTGGGTTCGATGATGAACACGGACGTCAAGACCAAGAAGAAGCTCATCAAGAGCTCCAGCAACACTGCACTCATCCTGTGGACGGAGGTAATCTATCGATTTCACCTTTCCAACGCAACGCAATGCGATACGAGACACGAGACACATACGCAGCACGCAGCACGCCGCACACGACACGCATACAACACACTTCGACCGGATTGTAATTGTGTGGCGTGCGTGTGTGGCGTGTTTAGGAGGAGATCGACCTGGTGATGTGGTACGATTGGGTGTTCGCCATCTGCCCGATCGTGATCGCCGTGCGGCCGCTGCCCTCGGGCCTGTTCTACACCTGTACATTGAACAAGAACGCCGAGGCACGCCCCCCCTCACTCACTGTTACTCTTTATGTTCACTACCACATGCCACGACATTTCCATGACTTGTCGATGAAATCTACCTGGTCTGACCATGACATGTGGC